ACAAGCTGTTTAGATTGTCAAAAACCTGTGTTTTTAGGGTTATCAACGAAGTTCGTGTACTCAGACCAGTAATATTTGGGTCACAAGTTTTGCCATGGATATTTTGTGGGTCAGAAGATAAAAAGTTTGGGAAGCACTGCTTTAGGGGATCATGTTAGAATCTGATTATCATGCAGATTACCAATCTGCAAATATCAGTCCGTCTCTCTCTCTCTCTCTTATTTATTTATTTTAAAATATATTTTGCTATTTGTCAGTTTATGGAAACAACAGGTTTAGGATCAAAACCCAGGCATCCCTCTTCCCAACAATACACTCGATCTTCAGTTGTCAGATCCCAAGGTGTTTCTGGTACAGATACATATTCCCTCATGTATTTTCTGGGTCTGCCTCGGGGTCTCCTCTTATTGAGACATGTCTGGAAAAACTTGCAAAAAGAGGAGCCCAGGAGACATCCTAATCAAATCCTTGAATCACCTCAACTATTTCAAGAAAATCTCCAAGTACTTCAGTCACTTGATCTCATTCTTTTGATCATAATCCACACCCCTTGAGGTGAGGGTTGAAGAGTAGACAGCCCAATACATTGAAGGGTCTGAAGCATCCATCCCTCATCGCATATGACTAGAAGATTTTTAAAAAATGCTGGATAAAACTTCTAATATTTTTCTAAACATGGTGGGAATCGTTCCAAATGTCTCTGTATCAGTTTTGCTGTTGTAGCCCTTGTGTTCCATATACATATCAAATTAAAGATGATTAAAAACAAAAAGAAAACTAGCATTCCTTAAAATAATGTACAATAATAATATTGCATTTTATTTATAGGCGCCTTTCAAAACTCTCAAGGTCACCTTACAAAAGTCAATAGTAAAAACCACAGTAAAACAATACAATAAAAGCAATAAATCAGTTAACAAAACAAAATACAATAGTGCAAACTATGAGAATACTCGTAGTTAGATTTATGGTTCAAGTGTGCATGCTTTCTTGAACAGATAGGTTTTGAGTTGAGATTTGAATGATGTAGTGGAGATAGAATTGATGAGGTCCAGAGGGAGAGAGTTCCATAGGTGGGGGGCTGAACAGCTGAAGGCTCGACCCCATGGTGGTCAGGCGAGCAAAAGGAACAGTCAGTTTGGAAGAAGCAGAGGATCTGAGATTACGAGGAGGAATGTAAGCATGGAGAAGTGAGGARATATATGGAGGAGCAAGGTTGTTAATGGCCTTAAATGTAAGAATGAGGATCTTGTAAATGATGCGATATTTAATGGGAAGCCAGTGTAGTTGCTGCAGGACTGGTGTTATGTGACAAATGGAAGGGGTTGTAGTGATAATCCGAGCAGCGGAGTTTTGAACAACTTGCATTTTATGGAGGAGTTTGTCTGGTAAGCCAAAGAGAAGTGAATTACAGTAATCCAGACGAGATGTGACATGAACCAGAATGGCTGTATTGTTAGGTGTAAGAGATGGACGCAGGCGAGAAATGTTTTATATGTGGAAATAAGCTGACCGAGTGACATTATTGACATGAGAGTGAAAAGATAAGGTACTGTCAAGGATGACACCCATACTCTTTACCTGGGGAGACGGAGAAACTTGTGAACTGTCAATTGAAAAATCATTAATCTTGGAGAGGATGGATTTGGTGCCAACAAGTGAAATTTTCAGTTTTATCACTATTAAGTTTTAGGAAGTTGTTGGAGAACCAGGACCTGATTTCCTGAGAGGCAGGTAGGAGGAAGAAACGAGTTTGGTTTTGAAGAAAGGTAGAGCTGGGTGTCATCCGCATAGCAGTGTATATTGTGTTTACGAAATATGTAGCCGAGAGGGAGAATGTAGATGATAAATAGGAGGGGTCCAAGGACAAATCCTTGGGACACAAAGAGGAAAGGGAGGCGGGTTTGGAAGAGAAGGTTTTGAGTTGAATGAACTGCGACCAGATACATTGAATACCACTTTGGATAAGGTTGATTAGTTGTTACGACCATCTTGAATTGAGTCCAAAAGTTGTAGATATACATCAGTAATTAAATTTGTTACTGAAAATTCTTCATTCTGCTTGATTTTTTTTAATGAAGTTGTCTTTGTTCCTGATGTAAATACCTCTTTGTCTTAGGTTTGCTGGTTTTAACAATCACACCACACAGTTGGTATAACAACAGCAGCCCTGTGTCTCCAATGTTTTCATTTCAAAGTGAGTTACGTGGAAGCCCACCTTGTCTGAGCTGGAGGGCGTTCCTCTTTCGGTCACTCCTATCCAGTTACAGACATGAAGAAGTGGGAGGTGTGTTGGTCCTTCTGTTGGGTTGATTTTAATGTCCCAAAACTCACCGGAAAACAAAGGACAAAAAGACCTATTTTTGGCCCAATTTGATGTAGTGAAAGAGGTACTTTATGAATGAGCTGTTCAGACTATCTTTTGTTCAACTTTGAGGAAATAAAAAAAAGAAAACTGGGTGTTCCTTTCTATTTCCAAATGAGCTGTCTGTAAGGAGTGGCTGTATCACTGATCCTTCAGCATTACATGGTGAAACCAAGTATTTATCACACCCATCCTTTCTATATGAAAAAAATACTATGTTTTTTTGTTATTATCTATTGTGCACCGACTAAAACACAAAAACATATCAAAAGAGACAAAACATTTGATCAAGTGACAGAATTTATTATCATTGTCCTTGAATAAAGAAAATCACATCAGTCAGAATATGACTCTTAAATTAAAAATCTGTCACAATAAAAGTTTATTATTGACATATTAATGTTATTATGATTAAAATATTGTGATATTTTTAACAGTAACAGATTATATCTGAAATAATTTTATTACATCGAGTGGCTTTTCAGACAAACTACTCTTAAATTGAAATTTGATCCTTAAATACAGACACTGAAAAGTGTACATTTGAAGCTGTTGGACACCACTGTACAGTATATCTATAAAAAAGTTATTATGAACTATATCCCATGGCACAGTTTGAAAGAGTTTCCCAGATATGATACTCAAACGTAATTCTGAAATGTGAACTCATGTTAACAAAGCACCCATCTAAATCTGCACACATATGAGAAAAAAACTGTACATATTTTGTTTATTACTTTATGGTTTTTTTTACAGATCTTATACTGCCTACAGAAGAGGAAACAATAAAATAAAAAAATAAAAAAGTAATTGTGACTTTTTTCTCAGAAGTCTGATGTTTGTTCTTGTATTTATGACTTTTATCTCATAATTCTGACTGTTTTCTCATAATTTTGACTTTTATCTCATAATTCTGAATTTTTCTCAGAATTTTTCTCACTGAAGATTCTCGGCATGAGAAGGATGCTGAGTCTGTAAAATAATCCCCAGTAAGGAGAACAATGAAATCAGAGATGGCAAGTCAAAAGCAAAAATGCTGTTTTCCCCTTCTTCTGAAAAGAAACGTTAGGCCTAACTAAATGCTAAAAGGAGGAGAGTCGAGTGTGTGGGGGGTGGGGTGTGAATTAAGCAGTGGAGAGAAAGTTATAGCAAAAGTTGGTGCTAAGATGAGCAGAAATAATCCAAACTTCTGATTGCTTAAATAAAATATACAAAGACAAACATTGTTTGCTATATTCTAACACAATGTCTGAAAAAACCCTGACGTACGTGTCAAGGTTGTCCATAAATTAAACAGAATATTAATAATAATAATATTTGTTTGTAATATTTGTGTTGTAAATTACACAGAATTCCCCCCATTTTGCAGGTATACGGAGGCATAGAGAAATCTCACAGAATTTTTTCTCAAATCTCACGTTTCAAAAACTCAGTTTTAATTTTAGTTTTTGTCTCAGAGCTTGACATAAAAACATCACCAAGAATAAATTCCAGTGGACATCTCCACCCCTCATTTCTGCCCACAGTTTGCTTGAAGTCCCCCTCATTATGTGTAAATACTACTTGTTTTTGTTGAAAATTGTTAATTTTTGAAGCTTAATATACAAATGTCTAAAGGGGTTCACATGTGCCCTGATGAATTTGATTCAAAAAATCATTGAATGATGTAAAAAATAGTTTATTAAATTAAAAAAAACAAACATTCAAAACACTAAGAATTACAGTAGATTAGGCTATTTTGATACATTCAGATAAAATGTATTTCATATAGTTTTTCTGTGCTTCAGACTTTAAATATATTTAAATTGCGCACTTTTTTTTAAATGGGGGCTCAATCAAAAACTGGTTATGTTGCCAAGGGGCCCACACCGTCCTGAATCCTGCCCTGGAGGATATCCCTCTATCCGGCAGCTCTGACCTGTCTCTGTGTCACTTCCGTGTTCCGCTCACCTGTGTTACACCTGCGTTATACAGCGCAGCTCCGGTGCACCTGCTGCTGCCATGATGACCGAGGACGACTTCACGACGTGCGACCTGACGACCTGCTCCTCCTCCGCCTCCGAGGAGGCTTTAAACGCCGCGAACATTCGGGAAACGGAGCCCATTTTCTCCGTGTTGACCGGCGGGATGAGGGAGCGCGCGGGGGACACGGTGTCTCCGGGCACCTGCCGGGGAGGAGGAGGAGGAGGTGGAGGAGGAGGAAGCAGCTGCGCCTCACCAACAACCACCTCCGACACCGAGTCCGGGATCTTTTCCGTGGAGAGCGAGGTGTGCGTGGAGCACGAGTCGGAGCTGGACTGGTTCTGTGGGACCGAGCAGAAACTCATCTGTTCCCGCTGCGCCACCGCGGGGCCCTGCCGCGGACACGCCGTGACCCCGCTGGCCTCCAGGGTCACAGCAGTCAGGGTGAGGCTGGTTGCAAACTTCACCTATAAAACTGCTTCATGTGGAAGTGTGGAAGTGAAACAAAAATCTATTTATTGCAGCTTATGTGTGCTCTCTTCGCTTTCAGTTTGTAAAGTATTTTCTCAGCTGATTTTAGATATTATTCAGAGATTCATGTGTTTTTTATACTCTAATCTTTATGCATTCTGTTCATAATTTTGAAGTTAATAGCCCTGTTCTCTGGGTGTGCCACTGTTTAGTGTATTTTCCTTGCTGATTTGTCAGCATGGTATTTCAGAGGACAGGATTTTCTTGTTGTCTAACCAGTTGTTCTTTATGATGCCTTTTTCCAGATTCCTCTGACTCAGTGTATAAATGCGTGCATGTGTGTGTTTTCCTTTTCTTTTGCAGAACCAGCTGGTGGACGTGTGTGAGAAAATGCAGCTGCAGGCTCTGAGGATCGACAAGTTTATCGAGCAAACCCTGGAAACCAAAAAGCAAAAGCTTCAGGTGAGAAATGTCAGCTCGTGTTGTGAAACGAATAAGATTCCAGCAGGATCAGATACAGTAGTTTGTATTTTTGGGGTCATTTAAATAAAACAAATGAAACCTCATATAATTAGCTAATTGCTTGGCTACCTTGATTATTTTAATAGTCTTTTTCACAGTTTAAGGATCTCAAGTACATAGTTTTCTGTCATAAAAAGGGGATATTTTAGTATTTTAGAACAAAATATCACAGTGTAATCTTTGCTGGAAATGTTTGTGGTGTTGAATGTTTAAATTGAGAGTTTAGCCTTTCGGCTCAGCTCTTTTTTTCACAACAGCAGACATGTTTTAATTAATGCAGACAAACTTCTGATCCATTCAGTCCGTCTCCCGCTCCGTCCTACCATCAGTTGTGCACAACTCTCCCAGACACTTAGCTTCACCTGCGGCAGAGACTCCTTGACCAGGAGGAATCACTCCGTCTTTTTTGGGTTGAGAAAAAGCACCTCACATTCAGCTGCAAACACCCCCCAGTGCATGACTGCATGGCTTGAAGATGAACAAAATCCCATTGTCTGCAAAGGTTCCCAAACCAGACACCAGACTGCAGCTTGAGGTCCTGTCCTGACAGGGTCCAACCTGCACCGAGACTTTGTGCTACAAATATTGACCTTAAAAACAACCCAGATACCCCACCCTCCTGCAGCACCCCACTCAGGATGCCTTGGTGAACACAGTCATAAGCCTCCTCCAAGTCTACAAAACTCTTAGACTGGAGAGTTAAACTCCCATGACCTCTTTAGCAACTCTGTAAGGGTTTAGACCATGTCTGATGTTTCACGACCAGGAAGGAAGCCATATTTCTCCTCATGAATCCGAGGTTTGCCAATGGACCTTCATCACCATGAGGTAAATTTCCCCAGGAAGGCTGAAAAGATAGTTGGAACACACTCTTGACTCACCCGCGACAGCTCTACAACATCCAGAGCTTCCAGCATCTCAGGATGAATCTCATCCACTACTCAGCCACACTAATAGACTCTCCTTCTGCCAAGTCCTTAGACTCTGCCTCCTCGGGGGGGGGGGACATGGTGTTCAGATTAAAAACATTCTCAAAGTTTTCCTTCTACTGTCCAAATATATCCAAAGTCCAGGTCAGCAGTTCCCCACCCAAGCCAAGAACAAGTTTTCTTACAGCCTTCGTTTCTTCTCCGGTTTGTTGAATAGTTTGTTGACCCTCTCAAGGTTGACCAGAATTCCTTCACAGTATTAAGAGAATGAATATCCTTTAATCCTAAACACTTTTTTGCTGGATAATAACTTTTAAAGCATCAAAACAGCCTTACAAGCGGTTCAGCAACTTACCGCCATGATGTCAGTGGAACGTAGTAAGTTTAAAACATGTCTAAAAACGTAAAAACTATAAAATAAGCAACATTAATATTACACTCACGTATGGCTGTAAAAACTATGTATTAAACAATGAGCATTTGTATTTATTAGGGGTGCACCAATAAATCAGCCGGCTGATTTATCGACACCGATTTCCTTAATTTTGAGAGATTGGCTGATATAAGATCTGTGGAAAAGACTGACTTCCCATCTACCTCCACAAAGGTCTGAAAAACAGCCTCTGTCCATTTTGCTCTGCTGTGAGCGCTAACAAGTTTGTATTGTTTCAAAGGTATTTTTCATTTTTTCTGGAACATTGAAGATGTAATGTGACCTTATAACACCCGACAGCGTCAGCTGTTTAAAAATCGGCAGGTGAAGTTCAGAAGAGGAAAACGTATTTGCTTTAACTCACTTGAATTCTCTTGAAAATTCAAGCATCTGTAGATGGTTTTGGAAAAGGCAGGAAAAGGTGAAACCACTTATCGTTTGAGCTCAGTCAGATCTGTAATCTCTTTGTTTTGAGGCATTTTAAGGACTTCTAGGTGAGTTCTTGTGTTCTCACTGTTTTCTTTGGCTAAACCCAAGTTTATGAATTTACAGCACACTTAACTTGAGAGCTTCTTTAACATTTAGAGGAGGACATTTCTCACAGTCCACTAGTCTTTCTTAAAATCATTTATTTTATCAGTGCATTGAGCCTTTTTCTCAGCAGTCATTTTATAACTTTTACATCTCAAGAAACAGCTTTTTACTCATAATTTAATGTGTTGAGGAGTCTTGGGTGTTGGAGAACTCTTTTAGGTCTTGTTTCAGATCCTCATTTTGTTGAAAGCAGTGAAAAAGTGTCTTGCTGCTGGTGAATGTCGCTCCCTTTTGTTTTGCTCGTGACTGAAATTAATGAACTGTATCTGCCAGGGTAAATTATCACTGTCAGTCAATAAATGGGATTTCTACCACAATGAAAGTATTAGGAAAATTACTTGAAAAAAATATTCCCTTATCATTTGTTTATTAAGATTTGAGAGCAAACTATAAGCTGTACGCACAGCAGCACGACGGCTCAGTGTTTAGCACTGTTTCCTCTCAGCAAGACGGTCCTGGATTCCATCCCTGGTTTGGACCTGGGGTCTTTCTGTGTGTAGTCTGCATGTTATCCTCGTTCTTGCGTGGGTTTTCTCTGGGTACTCCAGTTTCTTCCCACAAACAAAAATCATGCACGTTAGGATGCGTTCATGCACAAACATCTGTGATCTCAGTGGGATTTGCCTGCTTAAATAAAATGTAAATGAGCGCGATTTTAAGAACTGAAATCTTACAATGACAAAAGTACAGAGTCATAGTTGTTTGGTCAAACCTTGACATTAGTGACTCTAATGCTTCAGTTGCAGCAGAACTCAAAATTGTGAGGTCGGACTGATGTCAACGTTCCAGTTTCCAGCCTTTTAGAACATCGAGAAAAAAAAGGTTTCTGTTGCTTGCTCTGTCAGAATAATGCAACAACAACACAACTATAGTGCTCTACACCAGTGTTACCCAAAGTTGGGGTCGGGACCCAAAGTAGGGTTCCGAAACATCAAGGTGGGGTCCTGAAAAGATTTTCAGAATTAATTACATTTTTGCCTTAGTTGTTACAAAGGAGTGAGCTTAGTGTATTTAAAATGGATAAATGTAGTATAAAAATATTGTTACTATGCCCATGTTTAGTTGACCTGATACAAATATTTATCATCCAAAAATAGTTGGGGGCACAGGTCTCTGCTACTGTTATTTTGTGGGTCAAAAGCTGAAAAGTTTGGGAACCACTGCACTTTGGTTCCCAAAGTTGGACTTGGGACCCAATTATGGGTCATGAAGCACCTTGGATAATCTCCAGAAATCAATTTAAAGGGTAATAAAATAATTGCTGATGTAATATTTTCACTATAACTATTACAAAAATACAAAATAGCTATAGTTAAGTATTTATATGTGTGTACAAACTGTTTATACTGTCAAAAAGCCTGTGTTTTTAGGGTTATTAATGAACTTTGTGTACTCAGACCAGTAATATTCGGGGTCATAAGTTTTTGCCATGGATATTTTGTGGGTCAGAAGATAAAAAGTTTGGGAACCACTGCTTTATGCAACATTTTGAGTGTACAAACAGTGATAAAACTTATTGGCCTAATAATCGCTAGAAAGTACTACAAGTGCGACTGATTTAATATAAAGAAAACAACACAGAACTGCTAAAAACCATAAAAGTTTCACTCTGTTGAAGAGTAGCAGCCATGTTGAAATGATGTCACGTGTGCTCAGTTATGGTCGTGTTGCACCAACTTGCTGACTCAAAATTACGACATCAGGGGGCTTTCCAGTTGATATTTTCGACTCAGAAGTCTAAAATTCTGACCTCCAGGTGTAATGCAGCACAAGAGCCGGCTCTTTGAAGTGACTGCTCCTGGTTAGGAGACATTTTTCCTCTTTTCTCAGTACCAGTCTTTGCTAAAAAAAAAAAAAAACTATCACCTGAATGCTGCTTTTTCTTTCTGTTTTCACATTTAAATTTATATTTTGTTGATGTGTTGTTTCAGTTTACAGATTTACAAATAATAATCTCACAATGTGAGATTGAACGTTTTTGTCTAATTGAGTTTTGTCTTTATAAGTTGTTGTATTTTAAAATTTATTCTTGTAGAACTCTGTTCTACGTTGAGCAAATAAAGCCATATAAATAAACACATAAAAGGAGAAGCACGTGCATTCAAATCCTCCAAACAAGAGTGTGTCCATCTGACATGCAAATGCAATTTGTGACACAGCAAAAAAAGAAGCAACAGATTCAAAGAAAAACAAAACAGGAGGAAACAACTGACATTTCAGCACCACCAAAATGTCAGCTGTTGTTTCCTCATTAAAGACAAACGTTTAAAACTGTCTCCGGTGCTCCTGCTTTTTGGAAGCAGTTGTCTCTTTTTTGCAGTGCCACAGGATTTGATATTATGTATGCTTTTATATTAACAGTCATTTTACATATACTTCAGCTATAATTTATGCAACAAATAATCTGAGGATCTGAACGAGCCGTAATCCCCATCACTGCTTAACATCATGACCGATTTCACGCAATATGGCGAGATCTTGTCTGCAGCATCTCCTCATGTGACTGTCTTTCTCTCCCGGCAGGCGGAGGCCAGCCGGGCGAGGGACCAGGTGCTGGCGCAGGTCAGTGCTGCGCGCGAGGCCCTGGAAAAGGAGGAGCAGCGCGTCCTGGAGGAGGTGCAGAGGGAGCAGGAGCGGGTGGAGCAGTGCCTCCTCACCCAGAGAGCCCACTGGAGCCAGGCTCTAGCGAGTCTGTCGCAGACGCGCGCCCACCTGGTGCACACGCTGACGCACACCGCGGACGCACAGCTGGTGGTGAGAGGCTGGGGGGCCGGGGGGCATTCGCATGGGGAAGGGGGACAAATTAGTAGTTAAATAACCTGGTAATTACTAAGTAATCACCAACCTCCTGACTTCTTTCTTTCTTGCAGACCAGCATCCAAGAGATTGCTGAAAGGTATCATTTCAACTCTACAAATAGGTTTTTTGTTTGTTTGTTTGTTTGTTTGTTTTGACCTCTCAGGTCATATTTTATACCTGTGTGTGTTTGTGTCAGGGTGGAGTATGCAGAGGGGGTTGGGAACCCCTGCGACACAGAACAGCTCAACCTGAACCCAAACTGTTCTAACAGCAAACTGCTGAGAGGTCTGTGGGCTGCTGCGCTGCTGCTCGGCCCAAACGGTTTGTTTTTTTTATTTCATTTCGTTTTGTACTAAAACCTCCAACAGATTAATTCAGGAAATTATCAGCAACACTGCTGGTGGTAAATGACAACAAAAATAAATAGTTGGAGCAGTAAACAGTTTAAAGCTCAAGTGAGGTTGTTAAATATTTAGCATTCTTTGGAAAACGTTAGAATTTTAAATAATAATAAGTAAATGTACTAATAATTAAAAGCCAATGCTGATTTTCATAATCTGAGTAAGAATACACTTTTCAAAGTTTGCTCAAATATCTAATCTGTCGGGTTCGAGGTGATTGTGAAGCCAGGAGCAGGCAGACACAAGGAGCTCAAAGTAAACAATATTTAACAAACAAAAACAAAAAGCTGACAGGGCAGCAATACTTACAGATAACAGGATGCAGGGAAACACAGGGAGACAGATGAAGAGGACGATGAGCAACAGCTGAGGATAAGACTGATTAGAAACCACTGACAGGTGAGTGTGGTTCACTGAAGGGAACCGACAACTGAGGACTGTTACACACAGGGGAAACACCAGAGGGAGACAGCACAGGACACAAGACAACAGATCTTAACAAAATCATTACAGTTTTGTATCAATGACACCTTTTAATTTGAGCTAGAACACTTTCATTGCTAAATATTTGTTGTTGTTGTTTTTTTGGCTTTTAAATTTAAAAGGAAAGGTTTGAAGGGATGTGGTCATCATTCATGAAAAGTGTGATAGAGCAGACTTGAGTTAGTTTTAAGTTTAATTCTTTAAAGTTGAGGTTTTTGTGTCTTTTTTTAGCTGCATATTGATGTTGCACAATTTTCTCTTTAGTTCATTTCTTAAAATCTAATGAAAAAGGATGAATGCCAAACAAAAGGAAAAATGTGACACTAAATCAATGAATTCCCTCCTCCTCTCACAGCATACGGATCGTCTCTTCTAAAGTTTGACGAGCGCACAGTGAGCCCCCTCCTCTCCCTCTCCGACGACCTACGAACGTTGACCTTCCTCCAAAAGAAGCCCCGCCACTCTCCACCCTACGACCCCGCCCGCTTCGACTCTTGGCCCAACGCCCTGGGCTCCCAGTCCGTGTCCTCCGGCTCCCACAGCTGGGTGGTGGACGTGGGTCAGAGCGGCGCCTTCAAGATCGGGGTCTGCTACGCCTCTCTGGAGCGCAAAGGTTCTGGTAACGAGGCCCGACTGGGCCACAACGCCCAGTCCTGGGTGCTGTCTCGCTACGACGACGTCTACTCGTACTGTCACGCTGGGAAGGAGGTGCCCCTGCAGGTGGTGAGGAGACCCCAGAGGATCGGCGTCCTGCTCGACTGGCCGAGCCAGACGCTGCTGTTTTACGAGCCGGACTCCTGCACCGTGCTGCACGCCGTCACGCAACACTTCGAGGCGCCGCTGCTGCCGGCGTGCGCCGTGACGGACCGCAGCATCACAATCCTGCACTGAGGAACTGAGCGGGATCAAACATGGGAACTGTCTGTGTGCAATAACAAAGCCTTCAAACACCATCAGTTTATATTTATTAGTATTTTTTAGTCATTTATTAGTTTTTATGTGTTGATCATGTAGTGCCACAGTGAAGCTGACTGACAAAGATTGTTTTTGTTTGTAATAAGATGACAGTGGAGGTAATCTGTGGAAGAAAGCTTGGTTGATCCAGGTTTTAATCATCATGTGAAAAAAAAGTTTTTTCTTTGTTCATGTGCTGAGTAAAATGATTCTTACACTTTTTTTATTTCTGTTTACCAGTCTGAACATATTTAACTAAGTCTAACCACATCAAGGTTTTCTCTTTAGATTGTTTTTTATACAGATTGTTGAAACACACTAATAAATTTACATTAGACATTTATACACCCGTTAACAGTTACTGATTATTAAATTAGTAATAGTAACTAGAGTATTTGCATTTCCTGCAAGAATGCAGTGTAAATGCTTAATGCTGAAAGATTTTTCCTGAAAGCTGCTAAAGAAGCTGAAAATTTTTAATAGCAAAGCTGCTAATGACAGTAGAGAGGAGCAGAAACAAGTTCAAATGGTAAGTAAAAAAGACTGCATTGGAAGAAATAGAAAACTGGTTGTAAAATGATCAAAATTAGCAGAAAAAAGCACAAAATGTTTACTGAATTAAGCAGTAAGAAGCTGAAATCACAAAAATGTGAATTTTATATGAAAGAAGCTCAAATTAGATGAAAAGTAGCTAAAAGGCAGGCAACAGTTGAAATGAGCAGAAATCAGCTAAAAGAAGCATAAAAAGCTCAAATTAGCAGAAAGAAGCTGATGGAAGCCCAACAACACCACACAGATCATTGTCATGGAGTCCCATCATCATTTAGTGGCAGTTGAGCAAGTTGTGCCCAGTTAGGACCACAACCAGTGTACTTGGAGTTTTCTTTGTCGGGGATGAGAGCTTTCCCAAACCTAGTAGGATTTGGTCCAGCTCCTGTGCCTGTCTACAGTCCGTCAGCTCCCTCCAGCAGGTCGAGTGTTGAGGTCTAATCCAGGCCTGTAGGGCAGTCCTACAGACTAACAGTTCTTTGAAGATGGCCTGACTGCCAGCTTTTGCAAGGTTGTCATCTCTCTCGTTACCATTAATACAAGTATGTCCTGGTATCCATTCAACAGTAACACTGGAACGAGTTAGATACAGAAAATTGTACAGGAGAAAAACGGATAATCTCGTTAGCGTTCACACAATTAAAAATGAGTCATTAGTCAAACAATCAAATTAGTCATTTTAAATAAAAAGGAGATTAAAAAAATGTAGACATATGCAATAAAGATGAGTTCGTTGGTATTTTCCACAGTAATGAAACTTGTATTATTTAAAACCATAATGTATCTGTAATAACTTAAAACGGTAAAACGTTTAATGGCATGTTTTATCGTTACGCCACATTTAAAGTCAGACATTACTTTTGTATATTTATCTGAATCTTTTCTATAACTAAATGTTTGGACATTTCCTAACATATTTATTGGAACCAAAAGTTTTCACGGTGCAGCTTTTCTCCCACCAGTTCCACCCATTAACCACTAGGGGGCAGTATCATCCATGAACAGATGGAACAGACAAGATCTAAAATAAATTTCTTAATGCTCATTAATGGGAGTTGAAGATTTTCCTTTCAGAACCCTGGACAGCTACAAACTGTCTATTGGACGAAAACTCTACAAACTCTTGCTCTACCTGAGCAAATATGTTTGATATGAACTCACTCTCTGTGGAGGACCCAAACTGTCATAATTAGAAATAAAAACAGAGATAATGATCCTTCGGTTTCGGTTCTCCTCCATAACTCTCAGGCAAGTGGAAATAAATAATAATAATTGTGATGTGGCTGAACTATTGCTTCAAATTAGAAGCAACAAGCGTCTACGGAGAAGTTATGAAGTGATACCAAGTTCATCTGATAACAGACAGGAGACTTCAGGAAGGCAAACAATTCAAATGTGAATCAAAAGAAAAACCTCTGGTTATTGTCATCGGTGGCACTTTATGTGCAAATAAAAGCTTTAACTGTAAAGTACACACATTTTTTTGCAGAATAATGCTGCATTTTGTCCCCGTCTTATTTAAAAAAGCATTTGATTAGAAATATGATAAGGGTTATTATTTACTATAGGATTGATCATTTAACATTAAATTATGACAGATTTTTTTCACACATACCTCTTTTTAAAGTTGTGACTGAATATAAAATGTGAATAATAAAACAAGCTCAAAACTATCAACTTTTTCTGATCCTGCTGGTCACTAATCTGGCGTATTCTACAATTCACCTCCAGGGGGCGCCACACCATTGCAATTAGATGAGCTAAATAATTGAATTTTTATGATCTAATATCAGACTATTGAGCTCTTTCCTTGAAACCAGGTCTTCAGGTGTCTGCACAAAAAAATAGAAATCTTTAAAGCATGCAACTTTTTGTTTCTGCAAGTTCTTCAAGGCTCTTCCCCAGCTTCCCACAACCCCGAACAAAAACAAGTGGATGGATGTTTTCATAAAAGATTGATGGTTTTCAAATAAAGTTGGACACAAGACAGAAAAAAAAAATTCTTGAAAACATTTATCAACTTTTTTTTTTCATTTGCATGTTGATAATGACCCTAAAATGCATCACTGTATAAAGACCACCTGAGGCCTTTTTCTTTTTCCTTTGAAAAATGGGGCTTTTATTTTGCTGCACTTCCTGTAAAATTACTTACATTTCCTGAAATGAAATTTTAGTTTTTTTCTTAATAAATATCGTTAATAAAAACACTGAAAACGTTTTGTAAAAAAAGAAAAATGAGTTGCCGTTGCATTTCTCTGGAAGTAGCATTTGGACCTGTAATATGTTTTGACATTTAAAGAGCTTTGATGAAAAAGGAGGATATGTTTTAAGTTTGTTCATCTCACACCTGTTCTTAGTTTTACTTCCTGTTGATGACATTATTTCTGTAAAAATAAAAAGTAGTTTGTGGTAGTAGTCAAAACGTCAACAGATGCTTCTTCCTCCTTTTTTGTTAACAGATGTGTTGTTTTTTTCTCAGTAATCAGAAATATATTAGGTTTGAAATATGGTGACTCTAAATGAAACCAAAGTAAATATCAAATGAGATATAAAATAAAATAATACATGTATATAAGAGATGATTTAGACAGGAAATTTATTTTAATCAGTTACACTGCTGGTCTGTTGAACCAGGCCTGCAGTAAAGAACTAAAAAAGTCAAATATTAAACATTTCTCAAATGAACGCTGACTCAAAAAAAAAAAAAAAAAAAACAGCTCATTGAAGCTGGGACAAGCCAGACTTTATAAAGAAACAAAATTTCCTTGTTTCCTCTGTAGAAAACTACACGAGTTGTAAAAGAAATTCCAGTGTTTCATCTTCCAAATACTTCCGGTTTGTCTGTGATTCAGTTTTTTTTTTATATACAAGCAGTTCTTGATTTTTTTTTTTTATGTGTTCTTCTTCTTTGGAAAACTGACTGGTGGAGGCTCAATGTTGAGCTCTGATCTGAGGTCCTCCAGGCTCTGCTCCCATCGCCTCTCATAGAAGATACTGAGGACGCAGCGGGCCCGCCGGCCGTTCTGCAGGGCCCAGGGGCCCAAAGACGTGAGCAGAGTTTGGAAACGGCTGAGAGAGGGAATACATGAAAAAAAAAAAAAACATAAACAACAAGTAACCAAAAACCTTGTCAAGATTAACCTGTTGTGTTCCTGATAAACTACAGACAAGTTTCAACACGCTGGAAATTTTCAGTTAATGAATGAGAAAGGGTTAATGATTTCCAGTTTAAAAGTTGTACAGGCATCTGTTCAACTGTCACTTTACAGAGTTTCCTCTTTCCGTGTCAGTTAAAACCTTGAACCCAGAGTTTTCATAGATAAGCAGAAACGTTTTTTCCAGTAATCCATTCACACACAGAGTACCGTCCTCCATGAATAGGGTTGGGCATCATTTGAATTTGACTGTTTCTGGTTCCCAATGATGATTCCTTTCAGAGGCAGGGTCAAATAAGTTGACATTAATGAGGTAGCTAACCAGAGGTCTTTCTAGATGAACAGATGTTATGAATTTACTTTTCACACAGGGGTACTCTGCAAATCTTGTCCATCTAACCAAATCGTACCTTTATATCCAGCCAAAGAGTATTTTTGATCTTGTTTTGAGATGATGTACTAAGCAACAGCAGAATGTGTTTTGAAATTAATCAATCTTGTTAGCGTGGAAATGTTTTCCTCATTTAGAGAGAGAGGCCTTTATTGTCATCGTACAGAGAGCACAATGAAATTACAGGTCAGAACACCCATTCAGAAGAAGACAGAACATAACAAACATGGGAGAACAGGTGCCTTGGGTCATGCAGCCACAGACCCTGCACAGAGCAAGGATCATCTTCATGAAGACACCATGAGGAGGCGCTACCCTTAACAGAAAAACTAAAAACCACACAAGTCTTCCCGAGCGCAATTGTCTGCACTGGCCTATTATTTTACTTAATTTGATAACTGGAGTCTAAACACCAACTCAAATTGGTGTTTGGTGGCTCACCTGGATTTTTTTCTTCGTTGGTGTTGGGCGGCTTCTTCTTCTTCCAGTTGGCAGACTGGTTATTGAATCTAGGTATCTAAATTTAAAAGTACGAACGATTCTGGGAGAATTTAAATATTAGTCCCGGTTCCAATCAATAGCGAGACTCAATGCCCAACCCTAACCACGAGTGAATACGCTGTTACAAAGTTTGACTGAACAGAATCCAGAAGGTTTTCTGTTTGTATCGTATCGTAGCTGCTTGGCTACTGAGCACAACCATTCACAAATCCTGCTGGTTTTCTGAGTTGTTACTGGAACGTGGTTAAAGCTGGGAGCACGTTACACGATTTTCAGTCTTTACAGCGTGTGAAAAAACTTGGAACAGACCGGTTTCAGACTGGGGATTACATCCTGACAAGATATTACAGGCTGCATGATTTGGCAACCAACTGAACAACTCAAAGTCTTGTGCAAACAGTGGCAACAGTTTAACGATGGATGACAACAGGCTCAGTTTATGCTCAGAAAAAAACATCATAAAGAGAGAAAAATCAGGTGAAGTTTTGGACAAATCAATGTTTTTAAGTGCAGACTACAAAAATTTTATATTCTCGCTACTTCCTGTCATCTTCTGATGTTGTGTCCTGAGTCCCACAATCTCTCTTTCTTGGGTTGTTGACATGTGTTTGCAGTTGGGTGGGTAATCTGTTCACACTGCTGGATCGCGTTCAGATTCGTGTCCAGAAATTCAAATGTGTCTGCCTGACCATGACTGAGGTCGTCCAGTCTGTTCCACCCACCTGTAGATTTTGTTTCTTCACAAACCAACAGATTTTTGCTTCCAACTAGCAGTTCCGCTAACCTGCTAATAGCTGAGCTACCTTCTCATTTAGTGGATTAGATTTTTGCTAACTTTGGGAACCATTAGCAGACTAATTAGTTTCTACTAAATTAGGTTCTGATAACTGTAGGTCCACTAAAATATTCACAACTGTAAAAGCTATAATTTTTATGCCGTTTGTCCCATAATAAATAAAATCTATCCCATCTTACAAGCAGTGCTGGACTTGTCAGGTTAGTGTGTGTAAATGTAGCATCTTTATCAGCTAAACTTCAAACTAAGGTGTCAAAAAGAATTAAAATAACTTTAAATTAAAATAGCAAATATAGAAATGACTTTCTATAAAATATGGTAGAGAAAGTATTTGATATTAGTAGTTTGACTAACTTCAAAAAACACCTATAAAAATACAAACTCAATCAAAGAAATGCTTTTATTTTGAAAGGGTTAAACTGAAAATATCACAAGTTAGACCAGGCTCTGGTTTGGAGTGGCCAACCTGCCAAAAATGATCCCACCCATCTTCAAACTAAACCAATAGAATCAAACTAACAAAATGATGTTTATTTTTTTTTAAAGCAAAACATTAGCCCCATTTATCAGATGATTATTCATTCAGTCTATTAGTAAATGACTCGTATTTTCCCTTAATGAAAACTTGGTTAAAAAGAGACTGTAAAGTGTTAAATCCAGTATTTCACCTTGCGTTCAGCCGAAGCGGCCCCAACAAAGCTCCCAGAGTGCACATGGGAAGCCCCGTCTGAGCAGCTTCAAACCATTTCACTGCCACTTCGCCTGAAAGCGGGAGTAACACAGAAAAAGAAATATTCAAATTAAAAGATGAAAAGGAAAGAAACAGAAGTTGAGACCTGGTGTCAAGGCTCTGGTGCAGAAAACCCACCAGTTTTCTGCTTTTTGCTCTGACAGTCAAGCCTTTAGGTTTTCCTGTAATACAGTTCGGTTATGGGAATGGAAACTAAGATCAGCATTTTACAGAAAAAGATTGAATATTACTAGGTTTAAGCTGAAAACAGCTAAAAAGAAAAAAAATTACTGTATTATCAACAATTCAGTGTTTAGTTTAGGACTTCCTAAACTGACTGTTGATATTAGGGGTGGGTAAAAATACTGATTCATCAACACATTGCCATTTATATTTTTTCCAATTCAAAATCGAATCCTCTGATTTAATTCGACCTTCTGGCCAGTTTGTCATGTTTTTGTGTTATGGCTTTATTTTGAGATATTTTATATCTCAAAATTGTTATTATACAGTTCTGTTTATAAGGCCAAGAAAATAAATATCTGAAGATTATCCAAAGGGACTCTAATGAATTTTTGATTTAAAAGCATTTAGAGCAAGAAATTGAACTGTGAGGTTAACGATACCCAGCCCCAGCTGATATTTAGAGTTCAAAGGTCAGTGCTGATGAAGCTCTGAGCCTGACTCACCCAGCATGTTGGTGGGCATGCCCAGTAACGTGTGCAGTAAGTCGTGCACTTCTCTGTATCTCAGCATGACGTAAGCCAGCTCCTCGTTGTCCACAAACTTCACCTCTGCCCTCGAGTCAGGCGTCACGTTCTGTCCAAAATGATCAACTGAGAGATGTAATGGTGAAAATGTAAAGCATAGAGCAAACTTCCACCGGCCCAGCAGTGAACACTCACATTGTCCTCCAGAAAACGGAGGTATTCTCTCCCGAAAGAACCATCAGGCAGGCCGGCCATGTTTTTCAGATCGAGCGTAGAGAGTCGAATCTTTGGCCTTTCTCTGTAACACCAATCATTAAAAGACTAAACTTCCTAACAGAGCAGAAAATACTCTTTAAAAAAAGCTACCAAACTGTGTTAGAGACTCACGTTAGGACCAGGTAACCTTCAGGGTCATTTCTCATCCTGTCCCTTAGATTTATAAGTGCCAAGTGTCCAGTGGTCTCTCCAAGCACCGCAACCATGTCTATAACATTCAAACAAAACTTTATTTATTAATACAGTTAAAATAGGAGTCATTTAATATATTTCTTCAGAAGGTAAAATGTTTTTTTTACACATTTTCTGCTGTTCAACCTGTCTGTGATGTGATATATGTGATGTAATCTTAAATATTTTGGAGTGACTTAACAATTTTAACTGGTGTAACCGGTTATTTACTAGAAACATTGAGTAAAAACAACCCAAGATGTATTTTTTCTCATGTAGCCTTTGGTCTAAACCTGTGACTGGATGTCAGCTGACAGGTGTGTGCTCTATTCCCCCATGAGAGCTTCAACCCACTTTTCTCATTCTATTTTTATGAGAAAACTCAAGACATCTGCAGCATCTTTTACACATATGAAAAAATGGCAACATTTTATAATTACACCTCATTTAGCCTTACTTAAACATTAATATGCTCACATGTCCTGAAACAAAGAATACAGAACTGATGTAAGAAAGCAGAAAAATTGCAAAAATACTAATATAAATAAATAAATAAATACCCTACTCAATTATGTATTTGATCACTTGTTTAAAAAAATGGAAATTCATATTGAAAAGATGAGTTTAACTGCCAAAACGATCAACAAGTTCTTAGAATTCGGTAGTAAAAATCATAAATGACACAACTTTTGATATTTCTGAAAACAGATAATAGGACTGAGCTTGAAGTAACTTTTTTAGACGTCCGAGTTGACCAAAAATGTTCACTTAAATTTGTAAATTATAATAGCACTTTTTTATGTGTTTGTTTTGAACTTTAAGCCAGCAGCTCAATCTGCTACAGGTCACACAAATTAAGTGTGGACAAACTGAGCATTAGGAGATGCAACGGTTCCTTATCAAATCACAGAAATGTGCAGATAAAATTCCACCATAATCAGCCTTAGTGTTACATAAATACTTGATCTTATACTGTTTTGCCCTTTTTATTTTGTCATCTGAAATTTTTAAATGTTAGAAGACAAACTTCTGGTAAATAAAAGGCAGAAAAGAGAGGGGGAAAAGAGACTGTAGATAAAAAATACATTACTCATTTCAAAGAATATCTTATGGTTTTGTTATATCATACAGTATTAGGTTATCAAAGAACATTTCATACTTGTTGATTTAAATGTGCCATGATGAGAACGTTTTATTTTGATGACTAAATTATAAGGTCACTTTGTCTGGCTCCTTACCTGTCTAAAGAAAACTGGAGTCATGAAGTAATTTTAATGGTCAGATGATTGGCTGTGGGATTCATTTACTCTTTGATCCACGCATTTTTCAGAAGCTCATTGACTCACGAGTCTTAATCTGCAAATTGTGGGCCATTGGGTAAATATACTCCTTATGCTATGTTTTTTGTGGCCACAACACAAAGACAGCTGACTTGTTCAGTTCTTGATTCCACCATTATTTCAAAAAATCCACTACAGGGACAAATAAAAGACTGACAAGACTAAAGTGCAGTAACCATGCTGCTGAAACTCTCACCATGTCTGTAAGGGTTCTGCAATGCCGCCACACCTGATCCAACAGCCAGCAAGGCTTTCTGCAGGGGGGTGGTGTGAATGTGACCAGGGTACAACCCTTCATAGTAGCTGTGTGTAAGCTGAGGATGGCCAGTGTGCAGCTGGTGGACACACAACGCTGAGACAAAGGTGGAGCAGGGTTAGAAACTGGTCAAAGACCAAATGTTTTTTTATTGTTGTAAAATAACAACTCAATGAAATCCATCACTCGTCATATTATTGTTTCTTTTTTTCATGTCTAAGCAGACACAGCCATTAATCACCCTTTGTTACTAGAGATGCATTGTATTTGACTATCTTCAGTTGTTTTAATAAAAATCTGTAAAAGAAACAAATGCACAAACAAAACTTTAAAGATTATTAATTAATTGATTAAACACTTAAAACACATGTCTTGCTAAATGACAGCTCATTAAACATCTTAGCTTGAAGGTTTTCTAAACAAAACATTCATTGCATATCACTGTAACTGTAAGTCAGCACACATTTAAAAGTTTGTATGTAAGCGACCTAAAATGACTAATGTTAATGTCTAAAGAAAAGACTGACATTTTCTGTAACAAATTAACTTGTTTTCCAGATTTAGCTAACAGCTACACAGCCACGAGTGTAAGGAAACCAGCTTCAATAAAACTTAAAATTACAACAAAAAAGGTTATTTTATAGAAATGTTTTTTTCTAAACAAACCAATTATAAATACGCAGAGAATACCGATGTAAGCTCGTACCTTTCGAGTTTATTGAGTAACGTCTCTGCCGTGTGAAGAGATGACAAGAGCGTAGCCACATCTTTGACAAGTGCGCATGCGCTGTGACTCATTTCCGGGATGATTCGTCTTCCTAAAAGGATCCGCTTCTTCCGGCTCTCAAATGCGAGAATTGATTGAGCTCATAGTAAAAAAAAAAAAAAAAGCTTCAAGCATCCCAAACATATAAGCCCAAAGTGCCCTTAATTCAACTTGCTAGTATTATTTCCCTTAATTAGAGCTTTCATCGTTTAGATTTGTAATAAGTATATATGCATATGCACATAGATTGTCAATATTGTTCAAAGTAATTGTGCAAAAGTTTATTATTATTATTATAATAGCTACGCTTTATATATGATATTTTAGAAAGTGAGTCTATGAACTGGGGGCTTGGGGGCCACATCCATCCCAATTTTGATCACAATTCAACCAAGTCTGTTGCTTTCCAGTGGATTTTTAAGCCAAAACAGCTCCCTAACCTGATTCATCTGCAGTGTATCCAGGTACTGTTTTGCAACAGAGTTGCAGACTCAGCAATAGTCTGCCAGGGGATATATAGGATGCAAAAATAATTAGGACCTCAGACATGCAAGTCCTGATTTAGTGTGAAGATTCAAATCATTACCCTGAGAGAGTCAGGAATCAACGTGCTATATTCTGTCATGTTCCCTGCATCTAATGAATGAGTCATTCCACACACAACCAAATTTTGCCTTATGTTTGGTAATTGCTAATCTGCGTGGCTAACTAAAAACACTCAAAAGGATTCGATTCACATCGTTCAGTAAATGACTCGTTACTTATAGCCGGTTCGGCTCTGGCACGTCGCTTCTTTTTTAAACTGCACTCCCTTCGTATCATTAAAGTAAGCGAAACTGAAACGTTATTATGTTATACAAGGTTAAAAACTAGAACGAGTTTTATTTTTTATTCCTGTGTTGTAGCCCAGTGTTTTCGCTTTTTTTATACGCTACTAAGGCTGGTTGGCCGAATCTTTGCTAGTCGTGCGAGGTAGCAGCTGCAGTCAGCTAACTGACCGATCAAACCTGAAAAATAAACAAGTTTCTGGTTAGCTTAGCGTAAGGTTAGCAGCGTAAAGTTGTGTTGGAAGTGCTCAGGCAGGTCAGACGGGCTAAGATAGATAGTAACACCACAGTTTGTCCTTTTTTTTCGTATCAGCAACAGAATTACATAAAATGATCGGAGCTGAAACATTCACAGCGTCGCTCTTATTTATACAGAATATGACCACCTGCGGTCTGTAGGGGCGGTGACATCACCACAATGCACAAATACTGGCGTAGGGAGGCGCTGCCTGTTCAGCAGCTATAAGGGTGAGGAGCTGTGGAAGTTTGGGGTGAGTTCATCCTTTGTAGGTTTCGGTGCAGACGCGCGTAGTGATGCGCACAAACTTGGTATTGGGCAACACTCGTCTGTTTACAGACTTGTCTAGCTCTGAACAGCAACTGGATGTTTTGTTTGAGACAAAATTTGTGAAGGCTGTAGGGAGACTTGGGCTGTTGTGTTTACTTGACAAACAGCATGCTTGTTGTGTTATAGTTAGACATTTGATTTGAAGGTTACAGTCTGCATAAATGTAGAGCAAAGGGAATTTTATGTCTGTTTTTCTATCAGGAAATCTACTTTCATCCGTGAACGTTTATCTGACGGGGTTATAAATGGCTGTGAAACTAAAACTACTTGTATGCACTCTGGCACTGCTTATGGTTATTTTACTTGTGTGTTAAGTTTGTTTTGAGTCAGCGAGAAGGAGCTTTTTAGGACATGTTGGAGCTGCTTGTGAAATGACAGATGGTACTAAGTTTTTTATTGGTCATAAACTTTAAGTTTTCAGAGAATTTGACCAGTCAGAAGCTCCAGTAAAAGATTAGGTTCCTGCTAAGAACTGATAAGAAATACTCTAGCCAGTCTTTTATGTACTTTAATAAATTGAGTTTTCACTCTGTTTATTGGTACAGAAAGGTTTTGATGATGTTTTATCTGCACAGGCCAGGATGTAGACTAAATTAACAGAAATGTTAGAAAGGTTTTTATTGACTCTAGATGTCAGCTGTGAATCATGAATAAAACATTTTGAAGTGCTTGTGTAAGTTGTTTCGATTGCACAATTGTCCTTTGACACGTAAGGGTTGGACTTTTACTTAGAAATGATGTTGTTTCGTAGTCTTTTTCTGACCACATGGAAGTTTTGCCTGATGTAAGGAAAAGTTTACTAGAAAGAGGATTTGATACTTGCTGCTTTTTGGTCTCGTCAGCAAGAAGTTCAAACTGCATGGTATTCTCATACTAAGTCAGCTCTGTTTAGACTTAGATGAAGTCTGTGTTCTGTTGAGACTTGCTTTGAATTTAACCAAATAACTGGAGCAGGGACATTTTTACAAGCTACAACTTGTTTTCCTCCCTATCACATTCATTTTCCTACATTTACATTATGAAAACCACCTATTTGTGCAGTTATGTGTCAGTATCTTGACATTTACTGGGAATTAAAAAACACGTTGCACTTGTGTTTGCAGAAGCGATTTTAATCTACATAATAAATGAATTAAAAAAACACTCAGGCATTTCCAAATGAAGATTTTTTTTACAAGTGAGAAAACATGCTCATTAACCTAATTTGGATCCATAAATAAAGGACATCAGCTTAAAATGTAGTTTCTGTGCATTTTAAGGTCAGGCAAAGTCAGATTATTTTCATCTTTTTTATGCCTGTAAAGGGAAATGGAAAAAAACATCTTAAATTTGTCAGTATATTTTTGTTTTTGGTTCTGTAATTTATTTTTAGATTTCCTAGCAATAAGAGTGCGTTTCTGCTTAATGATAAGCTCTGATCTGTTTTGACCTAACTGGCTGTGCTGGCTCTACTAGATTCAACGATTCAAACTGCAACAAGCAAAAACCAGCAGATTTTATTTCTAAATGTTTTTAGTTACTTCTTGCCCATTAAAGCTGTTGTAAAACACCGTATTTCATTTGAAGGTTTAGTACAACAGAACGAAGTACTACATAAATATGTTGCAATTTGGAAATAAAACTTGTAGATGTGGGAGTTTATACTCTGCACAGAATACACTGACCTGAACGGTTTTTATAACACATCCACCAGGTGGCGATATTGAGAGGAATAGGCAAATCATTAATGGTGTCTACAAAGGTCCAATATTTAATTTATTACCAGGTTTTTGTTTTTACAAGCATTTTTGAGTGTCCTAAAAGCACTATGTATTATTATTATTATTATTATTATTATTATTATTATTACTGACCCATTATTGACATAGTATATATGCACAAAATACAAGAACTGTCGTACGTAGATCTCAACGTTTACATAAACTCGATACTTAATTTTCCACGAGGCTAGGGTAACAGAAGCGTACTATAGAATAATTTGATTATTTTCCAACAGCAAATTGCCCCAATATCTGAACATTGAATACCATAAAAAAAAAACATTAGTTAAAATTCAACTTAGCTGAATTTTGTGGCTGCAGTTAATTCTTTTAACGTAATTCAAAAAGTATATTGACCAGTAGATGGGAGTAAACGAGGCACTATTTCAAGAAGTTACGCACCAAACATCGCTCAAAATTTACTGCTAAAACAAATGGCATGCATATTCTTGGATTGTTTTGTTTTTATTTTACATATTTGTTAGCGGTATGCCTTAAAGTTCAAACGTATCAAAAACTTTTTTTGCGTGTGTGTAATAAGGAAATGTATTTCGAGAATTTGCATGACCGCCTTTTCAGTGGAAAACTTGCAAAGATAATGATCCCTTATTTGTGTTTGCATCTTCACATTCCACAGATATCACCTTATCTAAACCGTTTTTCCCCACCTGTCACTGATATCCTGTTGTTTTGTCACAAAGAAGGGATTTTTTTTATTTTTACTTTTGTTTTTACTTTAAGAAGGCTCAACATCACACGTGCACAACTCTTGCAACAAATTTCAGTCTTTTCTTTCACTTTAATTGAACGTATTTTTTTTTTACCTTGTATTTCCTCTTTTACGTTATGGTGTTGATGCAATATTTCAACATTAACCTGCCATTTGGAGTTGCGTTAACAACAGGGTTTGCAGTGACAGCTCCGCATCACTGTGCAATTATTTACTTAAAGGGCTAGACGCAGCTGGCTCTAAAAAGTACCTGAGAAACTTTGTAATTTACTAGTTGTTGCAACAAAACATGTTGCATTATAAAACACAGAACTGGAAAAGCTTTGTCATGTTTAATCCTGATTCCTATTTTTTTTTTATTAAATGTGGCTCCCTTTAATTCCTAGCTTCAGTTTTTGATAAAAAAAAATCTGATGTTGATGGCAATATCTTACGCTGTTATGTAGATTTATTTAGGTATTTTGAAGGTATCTTGGTTGGTTGTTGAGTATAAAATAGGGTAGGCAAGAATAAGCTTGGCCTATTCCTTTTTTTGGTAAATTATGAGTTTGTTTATTGTTTCTGTTTTGTTTATTGTTGTTTTTAATGCTTAATGTGAAAGATTTACCAAAAAATAAAGTGATTGATATATTTTAAAGATAAGAACTCTAAATGGTTTTGTTTGATTATTAAAGCCTTTAAATCAACATTTACTTACATTACCATAGTTAATTTTGGTGCACAACGTTCTCACATACACAGGTTTTGTCTTATTTGCTAAATGACAACGTATTTTGGTAAGATTTCAGTACTTTATATCTCAGAATGTGCCTGATGTGGCACTAATGTGGAACTAATAAGAATTGAACTGATTTTGTAACCGTACTCCGTGTCTTGTTGAGATCCTTTTTAAGGTTTGAGGTTTTTAGAGAAGTGTTGTTCTGGGTGTTAACAGAAGTTTAACGTTTCTTTTATTCCCAGCTGATCCAGCATCAGATTAATGGAGAAGAATGGCTCGCATTTCTTTGGACTCTCCCAACTCTTTACCAGGGATCCCCCTCAGTGTGCTGTCAGTGCCCATGGAAAATAAATACAAATGTCAGCAGTGTCTCCAGGTCCTGAGGAAGCCTGTTCAGGCTCAGTGTGGCCACCGCTTCTGTGTCCACTGCTTCAAGCAGCTCACCAGGTAGACCGGAGGTCCTCAGACCACCCGCAAGCGTTTGAAGTATAACCCCCCCTCTGCCTCGTAGTGCTTACCTTTTTTTTACCACTGGATTTGCCTCAGCACATCTTCTGTTCCTATCTCTGCTCAAGTTTGGGATTTTTTATTTTTTTTGCACCCAGAATCATTAACTTAATCCTGACTCATCCCTCACATGGCTGCTCTCTTAATTCTCATGTCAGTGAATCACAAGGATCCAGCCATGCACAATCATTCTAACTGGCCTCGTTGACTCATTCTAAGGTGTTTATTGTTTTTCTGTTTTCTTTTTCTTTTCACAGATGCACAAGCTGTTGATTAGTGCATGGAAATTCTTTATTAATGCTGGCTCATGTTTAAAAACAGAGGTTATGCACATGTCTTGCATAGTGGTCTTGGTCATGGCTCCTGACGATGACTACAGATCATATGACTCATGGCAGTCTATAAACCAAGACCAGACATGCATTTGGAGTGAACATGTCTGATCAGATTACATATCCTTTGGTGGGTTTCAAGGCTTTGCATCGGAAATATCCGCTTTAATTGATGGCAGTATTCACTCGTTATATTCTTGATTTAGTGACGTAACAATGGGAGCCATGTTGAATGTTTTGCCACTCAGGGGGCACGTTCAAGTGACGACATGTAGGACTAGAATATGGGTGCATAACCTCTACATTAACATGATCAGTGAAAATAAAGAGACACTAAACATTTCAGAAACGTTTGTAATTCTTAATCAAAATTTTAAAATATCCATAAAATGAACATTTAAACCTTGCCTTATTATGGTAATCCTCTAACGTGTTTACAACAGCTAAAAACACTTGTGAACTTCCTGTTGTGGGTGCTTGTGTCTTGTAGTTTTGTTCTGAGGAAATTTACTTGTTCGGGGGGAGGGGATAGAAAAAAAACATTTTGTAATGAATTCTTCATGTGATGGTTCCCCCACGTGCCTTTTTGTTTGTCTAGTGTGCCTGCATTTGTTTTCCTTAACCTCCCAAACTTAATAGACTTAGTCTCTTTATGCAGTGCTACATGCTTCTTTCCCTTCTGTTGCATCGTTTCATCAACCCGAGCTGTGATCTGTTTGGTCAATAGTTAACAAAAGACTACTTGTTTTAATGACCAAAATCAAAATCTTGTATGTTTATTAGCACTGGGCCAAAGCCTTGTGAAGCCTGTCAACAAGAGGAGATATATGAGGAGCCCATGTCTATTTTAAACAGTAATGAGGTGAGTAAAAAACAATGTGTAGTATTTTAACACAACATTGTTGTTTTGGATGTAAAAGGAGAACCACCCCTTTGCTCATTTAAAGGGAAAAACACAGTCTGATCACAATTTGAAGGGGGTTTCCTCCACTGCACAATGAGACCTATTCTTCTTGCGAGGACAATTACTGTCATCATGTTCTCAGTGAAGTCTTTGTTCTTGATCTCCCACCAGGCATTTCCAGATAATGCTGCTGGTCGAGAAATAGCGAGTCTGCCTGCCAGGTGTTTGAACCAGGGTTGCAGCTGGACTGGATCTATAAAAGAATATGAGGTGAAGTGTTAACTTAAGCTGTCCTCTTCACGTGGGTCTCACCGTTTCTGTTTTGAGGATGCAACTGAAATGTCACAAGATAACAAGAGCAGTTTGTACTTTGTGTCCTGTATGCTGGTGTGACCTCGATGCGTCGTTGAGGTCATGCTGTTCCCCACCGAGGCACGCAGCAAACATTTTGAGTCGAGCGTGATTGGTGTTTTTCATGAGCTGCTTTGCAGCGCATGTCTGAGAAACAGGAAGTGAAACTTGACATGTGGTAGGAAAGTCCCTACTTATTTAGATCAGCTATCAACAGTGGAAAGTACCAGGCTGAACAAAGCTGTGGGTGGTTAGTTGGACTATAGAGGATTATCTATTCAAACACATGTAAAGATAATTAAACCATGATCTACATAAAATAGGAACAAGGTTTCGATTACTAAGAAAGTCAAAAAGCACAGACTCGTATGTCAGATAATAAGGTTTATGTTGCTGAATGAGCACTGCTTTTATTTCTACTAAAAATCATTCTGTTTTGGGCTAGTTGTTAGGTTTGTTTACTAAATAAAACCCTGATCAATATCAGTTCTGTCTAATGAGCATTTACAGTAAATTTGATTGTATTTAAACAAACAGTTATGATCTTATTTAGAGATGGAATTACGTGGAAAGGATGTCTGACAAAGTGGCAACACCACGTTGTTGGAGGAGAGTGTTTTCTTTCCTTTCACAATCCTGGGTGTTTATACTTATTTTAATCTAGTGTGCTTATTTCCTTTCACATTTCCCTGACCTGAACGGTTGCAGCTGTAATACCTGTAATTTCCCTCGGGGATCAATAAAATTATTCTGATTCTGATTTAAAACGGATCCTCAAAGAAGTGCGTGTTGTCGGCCGGAGCGTGCCACAGTCGTTCACCTTGTTTTAAAATATTTGCTTTACTCTGATGCGCCCACGATTGTGGGAATAACTACACACTGCTAACTTAGTCACCACCTGCGACCGCTCGCTTCTCACAGATAGCCGAATCTTGCTAAACTGGGGGGAGAACGCTAACCGTGGCGACGTGACGTAGCCCGCTAACTGTGTAATGAAAAGTTAACGATGATTCATGTAAAAGTCTGGTCTATGCTGCAAGATTTTCCTGTGTAACAAGTCGAAAAATAAAAAGCTTGCATGCGGAAAAACAAACTTGACATACCCGATCTTTCTGCCCTGTGGTTGCACCTTGTTGTTACGAATCATTATGAAAGGGAAACCCAACTTCCTGTTCGTTAGGCGACGCCTCTGAAACCTCCCTTTGTTTTTGGCGGGAACTTTGAAATGAAAATCTGAACTTGTTTATTGGATCGTACAAATCTGAGTGAAAAAGTTTTGTTTCCAAGTAAACATTTTTATCACATTTAGCTGTGCAAAGTCTCTAAAGGAAATAATTTGTTTTACACTAGCTTTTACTGATAATGTCAAAAGCTTGTTGTTTTGCTCATTTTAATGTCTCAGTTCTGCTTTTAAATTCCTGTATTCTGTTCTCCACATGCTTATTTCTGCATTATAGTTACGGTACTTCTGTTTTGTAAGTTTCTAAGGTGCTCATTTGATTTGTTGTGATATACAGACCAAAAATAGTTTAGTTAAGTTCCCTGTATATTTTTCTATTTAGGTTACATTAACATGATACAAAGTAATACAATCCTGTGGCCACAAATCGCTACATAGTGTGTTTTACTAGCCTTTAAAGTCCATTTATAATGCAATAAAACATTTGAATGCTTTAAAAAAATAAAGCTAAAAAGCTGTTTTATTCTTGTTGCAGATGCAAACAGTTTCTGCACCACACCTACACCTGGAGCCATTCACAAACAGGATCAGTTAAAAAAGCTTTTCAGTAACACAAAAGATTTACTGGTTTTAGAAAACACACGAATGAGCTTTAATTATCCGTAACGCCATAAAAGACAGCTGTCTGTCTCATCTCTTGTAAGAGCGAAAGAATAACGAACATGTTTTGTCTGCGTGAGAACGCTTTGGCATTTTGGCTCATGTGTTCTCATTTATTTATTTATTTATTTTTAGACTCAGCATGAAGGTCGCTGTGAGTTGGAGCGGGTGCAGTGCGAGGCCTGCCAAGCCTCCATCCTCCTCAAGGACAAGGACAGACACAACGAGCGAGAATGTGAGGAAAGAACGCTCAACTGCAAATACTGCAAACTGACGTTCAACTTTAAAGAAATTAAGGTGAGAGGTGCAGGACCGAGTGCGGTGAAGCGCCTGTTGGTTGCCTTTTTTTTTTTTAACAGAAATAAAAACTCTGTTTTGGGAAACATTTCAGGCCCACGATGAGATCTGTGTGAAGTTTCCTTTACAATGCAAAGACTGCGGTAAAAAGAAGATCCCAAGAGAAAAGGTTTGAGCTCTTTTACAGTTTTTCAACCTTCGTAGACCATTTTTAATTATTTTAAGCAGCCGTTATTGACATGAACGTAGAGTAGCAGTGCATTTAAATTATATGTACACATAAATATTGGACAGGATTGTGACAACAAATAAAACAAAAAATAAAACTGTTTCCTTTAAATAATATTGAAACTTACTGAGAAAACCTAACAATCCCCTCGAACTCCAGTCAGTTTCTCTCTGACGAAGCACCTCCTGGACATGTTTTCACTATCATTTTGAGTCGATGCTTCTTTAACTCCCAAACTTTCCTTTTTGTCCACTTCACTTTCAGTTCAGTGACCACATCAAGTCCTGCCCCAAGTCAAAGAGCGCCTGTCTGTTCAGTGAAGTGGGCTGCAAGTCTGTGGTATGTGAAATAAGAAAATCCCTTAAATGTATCTTTGTTGCCACAATACACGTGGCAGTTTTTTTTTTCAATCACAGTGGGCGGGGCACAGTTTAAAAATTGAGATGTCATTCCTGCAACCACCAATCGGAGCTTAGAAAAGTTTTAAATCAAAGTAAGGCTGTGTAAAAGTTTTTAGCCACTCCTAATGATATAATATGATTTCAGGAAGCCAGACTACTTTGTAATCTGTTAAAATGCTCCTGATTAAAGGACTGTGGGAGGAAACTCCAGGCCTAACTTGGGGCTTGAACTCATGATCTTGCTGTGATGCAACAGTGCTAAGCACTAATCTATTGTGCTGCCCTAGTAAAAAGATGTTATAAAGCAGCTAAAGTCCAAAGAGCATGAAGGAGAGGACTAATAATCAAAACCACCTTCAAATATTACAAGAAACTCTGACTTATTGGAATTAAAGTAGGAAATGATTAATGGCTCAAGATTTTTTCTCTGTGACATTAATTGGTATTTGAAATGTCCTCTGTTATCATTCTTGATGTTAATAACCTCACAAATACGCAGTTTCAATGAAACTGATGAGCTGGAAGTTGAAGTGAAAACAAAAAGTTATTTTTGTACTCCAGATATGTAGAGGAGATTTTTTTAGAACCAGGTTCTGAGGAGTTTCTTTCAGGAAATCTCAGTTTTAAATAATTGGAAGTAGCAAACATAATGTGTGACCCGTTTCCAGATACTGGACGGTTTACTTTCTTAGAACCAAAGCATAACTTGTTCTGTAGATGTTCTGAGTATCTTCCTTTATTAATGTAAAACCAAACGCAGCCTGTTAACAGGAGCTTTTAAGAGGTCATTTTGCCTTAAAAAAACACAGAAGTTGTTCAAACATGACTCCTGTTTTTTTCTGCCGGCTCCTCAGATTGAGAACGGGAAGATCAGCGAACATGAGCACAGCAGCACCATGGAGCACTTGCGTCTGCTGCTGCCTATGGTTCTGTCCATGACCCGTTCTCGCTCCGAGGCCTCCAGCGCCGGAGAGTGGCAGGAGGACTCGGGTTTGGGTCTGTACAGAGCTCCCGACGAGGGAAGTGGGGCTGCAGCCTCCACAAGCTCCAACGACCTGGACAAAAAAGTGAGCCTCTCCTTTTCCGCTCGACGACCACAGCCGGTGTCCGACTGTGGTTCAGTTTGAGTCACAAACCTGTCCTCTCACAGGTGAGCGCTTTAGAGAACATTGTGTGCGTCCTGAATCGAGAGGTGGAGCGCAACTCTGTCACCCTGGAGGCCTTCGCTCACCAGCATCGTCTGGACCAGGAGAAGATGGAGAACCTGTCGAACCGAGTGCGGCAGCTGGAGCGGACGGTCACGATGAGAGACCTGCAGCTGTCCGAGACCGAGCAGCTGCTGCGAGAGCTGCAGCACTGCACCTACGACGGCGTGTTTGTCTGGAAGATCACAGAGTTCTCACGCCGCAGGCAGGACGCCGTGGCCGGTCGAGCCCCCGCGATGTTCTCACCGGGTAAGCCAAGGCGTGGCCGCCTCTCACAGATCGTTTCAACAGGTGTGAGCGAGGGATTTAGTGACGGGAGTGATCATTTACAGAATATAATCGTATCCAGTGGAGCATGTGGTTAGTATGATGTTACAGCTTGGCGTGCAGAGCAGGGAGATTCCAGACTGGTTCAGTGTTGTTCTTCGAGGCGTGTACACACTCCTAAATTTAACAGGGTTCTGTTTTTATTACATCTTTTTCCTCTGCTTTTCGTTTCACAGCGTTTTACTCCAGCAAGTACGGCTACAAGATGTGTCTCAGGCTGTATCTGAATGGCGACGGGACGGGTCGGGGTACGCACCTGTCGCTGTTCTTTGTGGTCATGAAGGGCAAATGTGACGCTCTGCTGAAATGGCCCTTCAGTCAGAAGGTATCAAAGTGCACAATCAGCAGTAGTCCACAAACAAGAGGAGAAACGTCAGAACGGGCTAATTCTCCTCCTTCCTTCCTTTTTTTTGTTCTGGTCTCAGGTGACCCTGATGCTCCTGGATCAGAACAACAGGGAGCACATTATCGACGCCTTCCGACCAGACGTCTCCTCCACCTCCTTCCAGCGGCCGATCAGTGAGATGAACATCGCCAGCGGCTGCCCTCTCTTCTGCCCGCTGCCTAAACTGGCAGGAAAGGGCCCCTATTTAAGAGATGACACCATCTTCATCAAAGCTATTGTAGACCTCACAGGCTTATAGAGTGTAAACTGTGGAAGTTGCACTAAAACTTTGAAACCTTCAATGAAGAAAAAAATATTATATAGATTTATGCATATGAATAAGCAAGGATAAGACTTCTATAACAATAAACTAGTTTAATAAATAATAAATATGACTATATTAATATATACTCTAGTAATATTATAATAAACCATTTTGGTTTGCAGCTGTATGTGACTCCTGTGGAAACTGAGATAAAACATACATATAATTTATTATGAAATATCTTCATATACAATTTATTATATTTATAAGACACCTAACTGTGCTTTATGTTAATTTGTTTTTCATCTGTGTAAAAACAAAGCAAAGAGCAAGTGCTTTACTTTTTCATAATGCTATGAGTTTTATGTAGTTTTAATGATTTTGCTGAACGAAGCTACCACAAATCAAATAACCTATAACTTCTTGAAATGTTCCCATAGTGAGTTTATCTGCTGCACATTCACTGCCTTATTAAATAAATACTTCATTATCAAGAGTTGGGTTAACATGTCAGGAAAAACAATACCTCAAGTTAAAACAGAAAAGGTGTATACTCATAAACATCTAAACTATCCTGTAAAAGATTACTGCACTAACAAAAAAAAGTTTTTTTTTTTTCAGTTTAGACAGTCTCAAAATAAAACTATTAAATTATATTATTGTTTTCATTACCATTCAATGTATATTATATATTTACTTCCATGTAATAGCTTTATACTTTAAACTGAATACACAAAACGTCACAAATAAGTACTGGTTGTATCAGTAAAATGAGGTCACAACTTAACCTAGAAATGCGTCATTGTTAGTTTTTTCAGATTCTATGTCTTTATTATCAGTTTCTGCTATTTAAATAAAACATTTTGTTGATTTTTACACCAACTGCTGACTTAAACATCACAAAATATTTACTATTATTTACTGTATTTTATTATTTTAATAATCATTTTCTTTTAAAAAACAATTAAAGACTTTTAAAATATTTCTGGCGTGCTTTTTCTTTTTACGAAACCTTGTCTTTTTCAGTGTGAGAGTGATCAGTTGAACAAAATAATTAATTATTCATTCTGAACATGTTTACAGCTTATTAACTCTTTAAATTTATATGTAAGTACTAAATATTGGAGCAGATTAAAATCATCCTAAGAACATCTTTGACAGTTATGTGTTCATTTTCCCTCATTTACTCTTACAACATGAATTTATGTATTTTTAGGGTGTTTTCTTCTTGTTAATATTTAGTTTAAAAACAAACCTTGGGTAAATAATAGGGTTCAGTCAGCACCATGGTAAAGTGAGGAAACGCCACATCACTGTCAGCATGTTGGCTGATTACTAAATGTTTGTGGTTGTTACGCCCACCCTTGACTCGAACACAATGTGCTGTTTCAGTAACGCAGAAATGCTGCGGTAACTCCCAACTATGATGCAGAACGAGGTGACATTTATTGTAACAACATGCTTAACTTTAATGCTTCTGTCCCTGTTTGACCTCTGCTAGTTTCCTCACTGTGGTGTCTTCAGGTTTGTTCCTCTGTAGGCTGACAGAATCTCTCTGGGAATTACCGTAAATGTTAGAAAAGCTGCACTCGCCTACAAGAACTTACAGTAAACTCTAGAAATATTGCCCCTACAATAAATTATTGTAAATGTTAAACCCTTAATCATATTAGAGCCATTGGTTCCCAAACTTTTCAGCTTTTTGCCTTCAAAATACCAGCAGCAGAGACCTGCGCCCCCAACTATTTTTGGCAGATAAACATATTTACCAGGGCATAGGAAGAATATTCATTATGCTAATTTAATCCATTTTTAAGTACCCTAACCTCTCTCTTGTACAACTAAAGCAAATAAACTGTTGTTGGTAATTATTTTTAAATGTAATTGATTCTGAAAATCATTTCAGCCACACTGGGGTCCAAGCCCTAACTTTAGGAACCACTGTTTCAGAGAGATTAGTTTTAGTTTCATGTGTTTAAGAAAATAAAAACTTGGAAATTTGGCTTTTTTATTCATTCACCAGTTTGAATCTAGAATATCTCACTCTAGTTTTTTTTTTTATTTACTTAAATTTTCTAATAAACTTAAGCAACTGCTGCTCTTAAAAGCAAACTATGACCCTTGGACTTGGATACAGGGTTTTTATGTTCAGATCACATTTAGGACGTTTGGGTGAATTATGTTAAATGATGAATCATTAAAATCTCCTCAGCCCTTTATGTGTAAACCATTTACAAAAAGCCTGTTGAAACAAATGCATGTAAAGTTTTTGGTCCAGTCTTTCTTCTAACCTTAAATGTACCTTAGTTTATCTTCTGTCTCACTTTACAGCCCATGAATCATTCAGAACATTCACCCTCCAACCAGTTTGTTTAGGTGAAACCATGATGAGTAGTCGGGAAACACCACTGCTTCGCTCTGCATGTATGCTTTTATGGTGGCTGCAAACGCACAGACAGCTACAGAAATTTGGGCGGGTGGAAATGTGTCATCACTGCACAATGCAGAGTTACAACGGCCCACCCGGGTTTGTGGAAAACCCCCCTCACAGGTCTTTAAAATAAATAAATAAATGAAATGCTTGCCATGAAAACAAACCACACACAAGTTTGGGGTTTGTACTAAAAAAAGAACAGAATTCAAAAGCTTCATTTTGATGTTCCCTCCCAGTAAGAAGAAAAAAGGGAAAATAAAAGATGAAATGACTCAGGTTTACCATTTCTAACAATATTTACTGCAGGTTTGTAAAGATGAAGAGTGAGCTATTCAAGAAATTTTTTTCTAACGTGCAAATCTGTGTCAAAGTGCAACGTCAACATTAGACACGAGCAACTTTTTCCCCTCCCAAATAAATAAATACAATTTTTTTGCACCACTTTTGACAGATATCCAATGCAAAACAGAGATTTTTCAGCCTCTGCTCTAGTTCAATTAAAAATATTTCACTTTGATGGCCCTAAATTAGTCTTGGATTAAAAAAATTGAGCTGTATCTTAAAAAAATAACTTCAATTAGTCACCAAATTAAAATTTAGGGTTTAATCTTTTTGGTTCAATTTAAATAGTGTGGACAAAGGCAGAAGTCCAACTGCAACAACTAAAATAAAAAAAAGTCATTTTCACGTTAATAATCCTAAACCAGCTGTGAAGCATGGTGGTGAAACATTTACCATGTGAGTGTTAAAGCTCAGTTAAAAGTAAGGATAAGAACTGTTCGCATACCAACAAAACCACCACGGATTGGCTCAAATAAATAAATAAATAAATAGACAAAAAGCCAAGACTTAAAACGTGAATGTGGGAGAAAGGCTTGAGAAGACCCTGAAACATTTTGCAGTTTTGGCTCAAATAGTGGTTATAAGTACAACAAAGAAATGAGACCAGTGGACAATGATGCCAAAAAAGGTTATACAGATGAAAGGAGTGTAGGTGTCATCAGATATAAAAATGTCTTTCTTAAAAACTCTTCCTCAGATGGGAAACACCCTCCAAACTGTTTTTAGATTTGACCACAGCTAAAGAAAAGCAAGCCGCCACACTTTGCTGAAACTGTTCAAATATAAATAACAGTTACCTAAAAAAAATGGTGTCAGTGTTGAACGTTCAGTGTGATGACACCATCACAAAGACCAAAGATGCTACTGTTTGGCTTTGTTTTGATCCACAGATGTCTTTTGTTTATTTCTTTTATTTTTCTCCTCCCGAAAGGCAAAAATCTGCATTTGACACATCTGTCTTTCTGACACATGCTTTTTATTCAAGAGGAGCTTTAAATAAAACAGTAGACAGCAGGAAACATGACTGTAAAGACAGGAAAAAAGAGAAAAAATATTGTAAAAGATGCGTAAAAAAAAAAAAAGACTCAAAAAGGGACCAAGTCCCTGACTTGTTACATTCATTATGAAATCTGACTTTTCCTGATGTGACAGTACTCAAGTCATATTCAGTAAAAACTTGACATAGATGCAAAAACCAAACAGAGTTTTAAAATCAGTCACATCCTCCGTTTACAGGGAGCCCACCTGAACTTTTAGGTAAAACACCTGGAAACCCACACGGGGGAGTCAGAAAGTACTGAACAAAATCAGAACTCATTTTAAAAATGTGGGTTTTGTTTCTCCAGAGGCACCAAAAAGTAAAAACTTATGAGTTAAACAGCTTTAATTTGATAAGATTTAAAGGAATACAGCATGATTCAATTAAAATTAAAGGGCGACATTTGTGTGACTTATGTTTATCAAGTTTCACCCAATATTTTCTTTATTTTTATTTATTGCTCATAAGTAACCCTTATGGTACAATTAGTTTGACATTGTTCTAAAACTTCTTCTGATCAAAACTGCGCTTCAAATATCCAATAAGCTGCAGGTTTTTAATGATGTTAAAGCTGAATTTATTTTAAAATCCCGGGGTTAAGGATTCAAACTGTGCCACCTTAAAAACATTATGTAAATCTTTAATAAGTCTTTACAATTACAGGTTTATAAAAATATTCTTACAATGTCCAACGTGAACATTTATAAAGAGAACAAAATATGGGAATGAAGACGAAAATTTATATTTTTAAACAAAACAAAAGTTCCTCCTAAAGAGACACGATTTGACCAAATTTTTAAAAAGTTGCCGAAAATAAACAGGGTTTTTTTTAAAATAAATGTAACATTATAGATCCATTTGCACACTTTTTGTTTAAGAGTCACGTTTCTTTTGTATTAAATTGAGTTTTTATTTTACACAATACAAAAAAATGGGTTGTTTTTTATCTGACGTGAATAAAACTGAGGAAAACTACGTTAAATAAAGCTTTGTGTTTTTCCCCTTCGTTTTTTAAACTGTTTTTTATAAAACTCTGAAGACACGCGTGATGACAGGTGTAGACTGAGGACACAAAGTAAGAGATTTATGTGAAGAAGAAAATGAAACCAGTCACTGCACTTGAGCCCAGATGAGAAGACATGCAAACACGATCAGAAGTACTCCAACAAACATTTAGATCTCAAGTCCAGGAGTCCAGAATCTGCTCCGTTCATTTAAAAGGAAAAAAAAAAAAAAGAAAAGGTCTCCTCGAGAACGCTTTGGACATCTTTTAGCTCTACTACCTTTACAAGTGATCATTTTGTGTATCTTTCTGTTCAGCAGCATGAGTGTTCGCTGTCATTTCTCCTCTTTGTTGGTGCAATGTCGCCCCCTTGTGTTTGACTTGCATCTGCCGGCTGCGACGCCCGGTCTCTGCTAAACGCACCGTATTACACGTGGAGTGTGTAAACATTCACACCACCGAGGAAGGAAAAAAAAAAGGGATGGAACGTTCCTCCCACCTGAAGGTGCCTCAGGGCTTCCCGTTCACACTGCCGGCTAACGCGGAGTTCTTGCTGCTGCGCATCAGCCAGGAGCTCAGGAGGCCGCGGGGCCTCGGCTGGCAGCTGGAGGCCTGCGCGAGGCGGACCATGCGCGGCGAACGCCACACCTTGACGGTGGAGTCGTCGCTGGCGGACAGGAGCAGCTCCTGGTCGGCGGGGCTGAACGCCACCGAGTTCACCACGTCGTCGTGGGCCAGACGTGCCAGGCAGATGTTGTAGTGACGGTCCCAGATGTAGCCATGCTTGTCCTCTGCTCCGCTGCAGGAAAGAGATGAGTCAGTGAACGTACCGCAGGAGGGAAACCTAACCCCAGTTTTTGCTTTTTTACTGGTCTGGTCAACCTTTGTATTAAAGTGAAGAAACTAAGTGTGACATGAGATGACTCATATCAGCTTTTTCCTGATAAATTTTCAAACACAAGCAGTTTTTCTAATGAACCTCTGAAGACGCCTACATACATTCAGCTGTTATTTCCCTAAATAAAAGCACCGCAAATGTTTCAAACTGCTCCTGATTCTTAAGAACTCCTACAAAATAAATGTCATTTTTTTTCAGTGGTGGGAGGTGAAAACCAAGGCTAATTTCAGTTTTTAAAATCTTATCTTTTTTTTGTCACATTTTCTATTTTAAATACTTGCAGAGTTGCAGCATGGACAACTTCCTGTGTACTGTAACGGGTAGGGGTGCACGATAGTTATCGGCCCGATATCAGAGAATTACGACGTCATACTTATCGGTCCGATATCGTAACAAACAGAACTGATAGTATATGTACATGTTTGCCAGCGCGGCGATGAGAATGCGTGTTTATTTTTATCCTTTTTGGTCAAGCCGCTTTCCGTCCGGCACGACCCGAGCAACGTTCAAGTTGCGTCGGAAAAAAAAACAACTTTCTAACTAAAAAAAATAATTAAATACTTCGTGCTGAAAAACAACCAGTCATTTTAAGAGTTATTAATTTTATTTTAACCAAGTGCTACACACAAACTTTATAAACATAAAAGGTCAGAAAAACTGCTCCCACTTGATTTAACCGAATCAATGAACGAAAGCTTCGTTTAACCGTCTGTGACTCACCTCGCCACGAAGTCTCTGCTGACGTCCAGGAAGATGAAGAAACACTCGTCGTTGGGGGTGAAGGCCCGGTGTGCGCGCAGACTCCTCCTCTCCTCTCTTAACGTCTTCAGGTCGATGACGTGCATGTCGATCTCCTCGGCGATGGGGGGCGGAGACATGGGGTCCGAGATCACGCACCCCGCTGGCCAAGCTCGGCTGTTCACGTACAGATACCTGACCGAGGACAGCAGAGGAGCTCAGCAGAGAGCCGGGGAGACTTTTCTGTTTAAATCCAATGATTCAGGTGGTTGTGTGTATTTTAATACACTCACCTGTGGTCTGGAGAAAGGCCCATGCCAATAATATGGCCGTGGATATCGATAACGTGGTCCAGTGAATCAAAAAACTCCTCGGAGCTCCGCTCTTCTCCGAGCACGGGACCAGACGTGGTCATCTGGTCCGGTTTGATCCGTTTGATGCCTAGAAAAGGAGAAGGCTGGTGTTTTATTTCTCTACTACGCTGCTGCGCGTTCAAACCGCAGCATTTCTGCTGATGTACCTATCTGGTGAGGGGAGTATGTAAGGCTGCCGGTGGTGAAGAGTAAGTACGTTTTGTCCTCTCCCTCCTCGGACTCAGTGGGCTCGATAAGGTTGGAGTCGGGGGCCTTGGTGTAGGCTCTGCCCATCATCTGAGCCACATGGGCCTCAATCTGTAGCTCCCTGGACCCGACATTTTTGCGACTCTGGAGAGAAGAAAGTCAAGCTCAATCAGACAAAATAAAAAAATGTAGAATTTAATTTTAAAAAAAAGGAATATTACCGCAGAGCTTACATGAAAGACATGCTCCAGGCCTGAGATGGTGGGCTGAGCAAGGCGCCCGCATGACAAGCCGTGACTCCCCGTTTCCCGCCGACGCTCTTCCTCGTCCTCTTCCTCCTCGTCGCTTTCGGACGTTCCCAGGTCGAATAAAAGCGGTTGGTGGGGGTGCTGCTGCTCTCCTCTCTCCCTCCTGGCCTGAGACTGAGCCTCGTAGTCCAGCAGCAGGTCGGGGCTGTCGTGTCGACGGCAGTGGGCCACCATCACCGTGCGAATGGTGCTGGCGTTCATGTTCTGGATCTTAAAAAGCCGCTTGACCACGTTGACGTTCTCCGATTCTACATTCTGTAGTAAAGAGAAATAAATAATGAAATAAATAAAAATATTTTAAACATTTTGAGTAACGCGTCTCTTAGCTGTGCTATTTCTCACCTGGAAGGCTTTGTTGAGCCAGAGCACTGAGCAGGACGTCATGTTGCCGATCCAGTGCAGGTTCCCAGAAATCAGGTGAGTCTCGTTCAGCCAGCAGCCAAACACATCGTACGGTTTGTTTCGAACTCGCGACAACAGCGTGTAATTTTCTGTATGAGGGAAGACAGCCTTTTTTAAAGCTGTGTTTTGTAACTGTCGCTGCTTCCCAAGACTGATCTTTCAGCACCTTATTTACTCAAGTTGTCTCGTTTCTAAAGAAAATCACACAAACTGACCTCATAATCTGAGAGTGTGGTTTTATTTGGAAACCTGAAAACAATCTTCAAGACAAACCATCAGGAAATGACTCATTTTGCCGCTGCTCTCACCCATACTGATGACAGCAATTTCCCCAGATGAGGAGTGATGCGGGCCCAGGTAGACGCCGGACACGAGCAGCAGGCTGTCGTCAGGGTTGAACTGGGAGAACTGGGTGTAGCCCCAGTTAAACGGCCGCATGCTGGCGCTGTGCACCAACGAGATGTTCCCATCGGGCCGCTCTGTGTCCCATAGCTGCGTAAAAAAGGAGAACTAGGAAAACGACTGAGTGACGACAGGAAAATTGATGAAACTTTCGTGGAATGTCAACAATTTTCTCGTATTTCTTGTGAACTTTGTTTCCGTCCCTGAATGCTAAACAAAAAAAATGCCTCAAAAAAAACCAAGAAGCTGCCCAACGAAGAGCACAAAACTCGCCTGATTTTGTTACAAAAGCATCATGAAGTGTTAGATTATTTCTGTGACGTGCAAATGCTGCTCAACGTGTCAAGCCTAGAACAAAATTTATCGCCTTTTAAAAATGTTTAAAGGCACAGTGTGTAGGATTTGTTGTTTTCAGCAACATATAGTGGTTGAGTGGTTGAATCATCCTCCCTGGTCCTCCCCCGACCCGCCGCTTCCAAACGCAAAGGAGTTGCTACGGTGTCTCTCAGGTGTCAAAAACCTTTGATAATTCCAACCGCGATGTCTACCAGCAGCTTCAGGGCTAGTGATGTTTCAAGTGGTAAGATTATGAGCTTTAATAAGTAAAGTTATCCCAGCTACAATGACAGACAACAAATATTACATTTATAGTACTACAACTAAAACCGTTTTTGACGCCGCCACCGCAGTTTGTCCTTCATGAGCCTTCGTAGACAAGATGGCGGTGCAAGATGGCGGCTGCCTGTAGTGGCGACCCGCGACCGTGGAGATATAAACAGCTTTTTATAAAGGTAAAAATAATAAAACAAAGTCTTTGTCTGCAATGATTAAACATGTTTTTTTATTATTGTCATTAGTGCTACACACTGTGCCTTTAAGTGGTTCCCAAACTTTTCTACTTTCACCCGTGCAGAATCTTTTGACCCCAACATCAATATTAAGCCATTTAAACAAAGTGTTTCTGCAATCATTCTTTTTTTTTTTTTATTATCCATGACTGCTGGTTTGATCTCTTTGTAACACTAATAGCTAGGTGTGGGATTAGTTAGCATTTTGAAGCAAATCTGAATTATTTTGATCTTTTCGAGACCCCCATACTTGAAGTTTTACCTCCCACAGTGGGGTTCTGACCCCATCTTTAGAACCCACTGGTCTACAGTAACATTTTCTGTGAAAATAACTTGATAAAAACTATCAAGAATTGCTTTCAGTCTGTCCGTATTACTTTTATGATGAATGTCTTGCTAGTATAAAATATTATTTGTCTAGAATGACCCAGTTTGAGGGAACGGAGCACTTCAGTTCAGGGAATTAAATTATGGAATAATCTGGAAGATGATGTTAAAAATGCCAGAACAATGTGTATATTTAAGAGAATGATAAAGGTTAATTTAATGGAGAAATATGTGTGGGTATAATGTACAAACTGTTGCTCAAGAAGGAATTAAACCTTTACTGTTTTTCTTTTATTTTTTTTTGTACGTTTTTGTAAATTGAAGATTATTTTTGACTGAATTTATTTACTTGAGAAAAAGGGGCAGAAATCATACGATTTTTTTCTTCTGCTGCCTTTCATTTGGTTTATGATTTGTATTTTTATTGAATATTGAATTTATGTTGTTTTGTTTTAAATGAATAAACTTTATGACATAATAGAACGTATATCACGACAAAGGCTAAAATAAATCTCTAATCTTTTGAATTTTACCTTCACTGTGCAGTCTTTGGAGCAGGAGGAGAAGCGGTGGCCCCTGTGAGAGAAAGCCAGGTGGAGAACTTGGTCGCTGTGCTCTCTCAGCGTCTGAACCTCCACGCAGGGGATGCAGTCGAACAAACGCTTGAACTCCCTGTACCACGACACAGCCGCTGTACATGAAGAAGAATTTATCCAACAGAGCATTGTTTTAATGAATAAATCAATTAAATATCACTGCTAGTCTTCTTTTTTTTTTTTTTGAATATTTACAAGGATGTCGAGGTACGGAGCGTGGAATGCGGTAGTAGCTGTAGAACAGCTCCCTCCACAGGAACTCATCTCTGGAGACGGCCTGCCACTGTCTGCATGTCAGACCTGCTCTCAGCACGGCATCGTGGGGCAGACGCAGGAAGATCTCCAAAACTAAGCTGTCCGGCAGAACTGGACCACACTCCATCCTAACATCCTAAGAAACACGCCACAGGAAAAATAAACAAACCAGCCAGAGTTAGAGAAATGACACCGCAGACGTACGTGGGTCAAACAAAAATTTTCATCGCAAACATTTTCTATTAAGTAGCCCAGAAAAATAACCTCAAGAACTAAAACATAATTACTAATACTTTTAAAACTATTATGTTTATAGCTATACAGTTTTTTTTGTTTGTTTTTTAAAGAAAAAAAAACTTACCAAAGCAAGAACAATTCTTCCATATGAATAAAAAACATACAAGCCACTAAATAAGAGAGGATATATCGAAATATAATACAGTCTAAATCATTTTATAACCCTTTAAATTAAAGCTAAGTTCACAAGAATAGATGAAATTTTATGTTTATAAATAAATCATTTTGTTGTCCATCCACTGCACTCAGATAGAAATTAACAAGGTCCTAACTTTGATACATTTCTTCACATTTTATCTTTTTTTAACTTAAATATACATTTCACTGTGTATTTTTTAACCATTTGTGAGGCTCATTCTGTACTGGTAATTATTTGGGATTATTAGTGAATTACATAAAATCACAATAATCAGATGAAGATTTTATTGTAATCGTCCTGGATCAAAACTGAGGTCCAAATAGGCTACAGCACACATTTAATACAGCCTAAATGCTTGTTATAAGATTTTCCATTCTGTAGCAAAGTAAAGTATTCCCGGCTGATAGCTTAAATTAGCTTGTCGTGTCTAAATGACCTAACGTGGACATTTAGTAGCCCACATTTAAATGTACAAAATGCTACAAGTTACTGTTAGCACATTATTAACCATTAGTCACCCCGCGGACAAACTAAGCACTAAATAACAGCTAGAAAAACGCTTACATTTGCCTGTTTGTTAGAAATAATACCTGACTTTGCAGCTAAACTAAAAAGATCAAGTTAGCGTTTAAACTGCTAGCTGCTAGCCGACGTCTCTTCTCAACTTTTAGCAGACGACGTATTAAACTTGTCAACAAGTGGTTTCCGTAACGAATCAGAGCTGATGTTGCACGAGCTGTTCAGCTTGACTTTTAAATAAAACTGCCGAGAAAACTGAGACCCACCTGATGGATTAAAGTCTGATGAAGAGAAGCATCTTATGGGCTGTTAGCTAAAAGCTAGCGCTTAGGGAAAAATGACAACAATTCACCGACAGCGAGACTCGATGAGCAGATAACAGAACCATCGCTGCAGCCAGGCCGAGATAATCAATCACCGTGTTTTGTTTTTGTTATTTTACACTTGCAGATTCAATCAAGTAAACTATGTAGGTAAGACACATAAAGACAAACAACTAGGCGCACAAAAAAGCTTGGAAGTGACAGCAAGTTGTAATAATTTTGTTATAAATGCAGAGAAAAAGACCCTAGGTTGCATCATGTGTCAAAATCAAGGCCCATGGGCCATTTGTGGCCCACAACCGCATCTTATTTGGCCCGTGAGAGCTTCAAAGATGTATGCTGAAAATAAGCATTTATAATAATGTAATGCTTTAAAACCAGCACTGGTTATAAACCAGTGGTCTTCAACCCTGCTCCTTGTGACACACTGTCCTGCATGGTTTAGATGTTTACCTGATTTGAATAAATAAATGATCTCAGAACGTCATCAATCATTCATTCAGATCAGTTGTGTTGAATCATCTCTCATAACTTATGCTGATTTTTTTATCCACAAAATGAGTCCATAATAGTTGGAGGTGCACAGGATTCAAAAGCCAGCAGGAAAATTTGCCATGTAAAATCTCTATTTAGCTGTATTTTCACTGGCTTCTTTTTGCTGCAGGCCAGCTGTACTGGAAAGTGGGAATTTTCAAATGACAAATCATAAATGTAAACAGGAACGACCCTCTTAAATTACAGGTTGGAAGATGTCAGAAACTGGAACTCAGAATCTAGACAGCAGCGATTTATCACAACAGTGAGTAAAACTCTCATACTTTGACTTTTATTAGTATTTCTGTACATTTTTTTTACATTTAGTCATCTGATCAGGTAGTATTTTTCAGGGTTTATTAGATGCATATCATGCAGCTGCTGATCTATGATAGATGGGACAATGTTCTGCTGGATGCTGATTGGCTGTCACTGAACAATGCATAAAAGCAGCTTAATAATACTCAATAAGTGCACAGTAACGTTAAGGTAAATGCATATAAGTAAGTGTTAATTGCGAGTAAGCAAGAGCAAAATCTAAGGCCACAAAAGCAAAATGGAAAAAATGGTTATAAAGACCATGTGTGTAAATTTAATTGCTCAAAACCCACAGATAAGTCTCAAGTTTCAACAAACATTAATAATTCAATTTTTTAAAATAAAACAGGGCAATACCAGTGTACAGTTCACTGCATGTAGGATGTTCTTTATATTTGTGTTTGGACTCAACAATTCACACACTCACAGCACACACACACACCCTCCCCCAGCTGAAACAGGTTCCCACAGTAACTCTACACTTCTTGTTCATGCAGGTATCAGCTCTGTTTACCTCGGCAAGCGGCACCCTGAGGACCACACAAGCCCTTGTGACTGAAAAACCGCTGTGTCACCGTCTTCTTGTGTCACAAACAACCCCAAAGCTGAGATAGACTAATAATAAAGAGACATTTAAACTGAGGAGACATGCTGTGACTTATAATCTCTGGTAAGTTCTAAAATTTTGAGTTCATTTTATCATATATGAAACAGTGTGAATTTTAATTATTAGTCACTGTTTTTTTTATGTCAAACATGAAAATGTATCTTGGGGTTATTGTGTGAAATCATGTGGTTTGAACCTGATAGGGATGAGGTCTGGTTGCCGGCTTTGTGCTGGTCTTATTACCTCTGTTTGACACAACTAACAGATGAACTGTTCCTGCAGGGCTGCGCAGCGCAGTGAACTGGATGGTTTCTTGCTGTGGCACCTCTGAGAAGGACAGGATGTCTTCAGGAAACCAATGTCAGCATGTAATGTAAACACAAACCTTTTCAAGCTCTTTTGAATCTGTTTTATGACTGAGTTGTTTCTGTTTGTGCAGGACAGAGAGTTTGGACGGTGTCCAGTGATGGAAAACCATGCAGTCAGAGCCGTGCATAATGGTTCCTGCAAGTTAACACCTTCTTTACCTAAACTCTGCTGCACTTGTTACAATGACGACCTGTCTGAAAGCTTCTTCTTGGGAAGATGGACAGAGTCTGACAGCTGACAAGTGCCTCACCAGCTCTACTGTAAGCACCATTCACTTATATGCTAACAATAAATTCAACATTTAAACCTCTTATAAACACTTTATTGTCTTTTTTCTGAAGTGCTCTTGACCATCTCAGCAGGACACCATGTTTCTGTTCAGGTGTGGGTTTTTTTTTTTTTATTATTATTTGTGTGTGTGTGTTTGTCGCCATCGTGTGGAAGCAATAAGAGCTGCAGGACCTCACCTAATTCAATTAATAAATCTTTTAAGAAAATGTGGCTGAAATATAACAAAATTAAATTAGATAAGTTATACAAAAGCTACTTTAAAATCGCACTTTTAAATTCTCAATGTAGTAGACCCAATCTAAATATGTTGTTTTTGATTAAACAGAGAAATTGAAGGCTTTCCTTATAAGGCCATAAATTGTAATAATAATAATAATAATAATAATAATAATAATAATATTTTAACAGATTTGTCATGCATAAAACAGCAACCTGTATAAAACCTTTTTATTTCAGTCAATTTTCAGGATACCCCAATCTTCATTCTTGATTTTAAAATGAGTTAACATTAAGGCTTTCCCTTTAAAACACAAACAAAACTCCCTACTTTGGGTTAGAGGCGGGAAACAATTTGCCCAGTAATAGAGTTTCAAAACAATATTTTAATAAAGCAGCACTCTGACATGGAGGATGTTTTTTTTAATCCTTTTAATATACAAAAAATCGGACAATATGTGTGGATTTAATACATTTAAAATGTCAATATAAAAGCACTACTTTTTGAACACAATCTTCACTTTGATCTCAATAAATATATACTGTATTTATTTACTTTTTGGGATTTTCTTTTCTTTTTCTTTTTTTGTAATTCAAATTGTATCTCTAAAACACTTTGGATTCTCAGACTTTTGAGATTCTGGACCTGAAAGCAGATTTTCAATACCAAATTGGACAAATACTGATGTTCATTAAGGTAATTTTTATCAGTTTATTACACTTTAAAACTCTCATTTGTAAGACGTGTGCAGAGTCATTTTTAATTTTTAATTTTGTTTATAATACTAATCTAAAGTCTCAATTTTCTCAGTTTGACAATAGTTTCCAGTTTATCTTTTGCTCTCTATTAAAATTCAATGAATTAACTTGAACAAATGCTTTAATGTGTCCAGGTATTAACCTTTACATCACCAGCAACAATAAATAATTTATTTTTAATCTAATAAAAACTACTTATTTCTTAAAATATTTTATTACTATTTTTTTGGTCTGACTTTCTAAATGACAATATATTTTCCAAACTATCGTTTATGTTTCAAGATATGTAATATCAGATTTACTGCAGGTTTTTGTCGTGAAGGACAACAGTTCTCAAAGTTAGGGTTGGGACCCCACTGGGGGTCAAAAAACATGTAGGTGGGGTCCTGAGTTGAGCTACAGAAATCAAGCAAAAAATTGAAAATATATTTCTTTAGACATAAAAATGCAATACAAAACTTTTAAAACGATGAGTTCATGTGTTGTCATTGTGTTCCTTTTATTTAACTTTTTAGCAACATTTGTAATCGCGAGGCTTTTTCTTTGCTGTTTTAGATACAAATCCCTAAAAGACTTGGAAATCACTGATGTTTTTAACATTATAAACCAAACCATGCTGCTCAAGAGACATGGCCTTCCAGACTGGAGGCCTTCTTTTTAAATTTAAATTACAATCTTAATCTTATTCTGCTCGAATCCGTCTGATTCTGGAGTTGTCTGATTCTTTTTAAACTTTCTTTTTTTTCAAAAATCATTCTGTCTCCCTTATGTTTTTTGAAAGGACAGAAGTTAAATCCAGTTTAGAAAATGCTGCATGTTTTGTTTTTCTGCAGAGAAAGTTTTCTCCATATTTCACCACCTTGACTGTCAGATATATTTTTTATCTTTTCAGATTGTTGCTTCAGTCGGCCTTCATTTGTTTGTTAAATTGTAATTTCGTAACAAGAGGACACAAGTTAAATAAATATGAATAGATTTGAAACATTTAATGCGCGTAAATCTGGCTGAAAATCATGAGCTAAATTAATCGTGTTGTAATGTCATATCATTTATTTGATAGAAGAATGCACAAATGTATTTACAATCACATGTACAGATACATATTTTTTACAATTACACAAATATCTGAAAAATCCAGTCTGTACAGGGTTAAAGTGACAGTTTGGATGCAGCTGGAACCATCAGTGTGTCCTCTTATTATCTTCAAACAATAAATCTCTGCTGAGACTGCTTCTCAGAGCGCACGAACAGAAGATGTGGACAATAAACAATGAGAAATCAGAAACTGACACAATACAAACACTGACATCGCTGCCAGTTTAACTAAAAATCAACAAAAAATAATAATAAGGCAAGAACAATTTGTCTTTTTGTCCAGACATGCCTGAAGACATTTTTTTTTTAAACTTCTCTCTACATCTAAAGTGCAACCAGCCCGCCCTGTGTTCGCCATCATAGCACCATGGTGGGGATGTGGTGCACCAGGGGCATCTGGTGCTGGATGGGGGCCATCTGCGGGAGCGGAGGCGGGGGAGGGGACACCTGAGGAGCCCCGTCGGCGCTGGAGGCCGCGGGCTTGTGCCGCGCGCTCTTCTGGTGCGCCCTGAGGCCCGCCAGCTGCGAGTAGGCGCTCTGGCACACGTGGCACTTGTAGGGCCGCTCTCCCGTGTGCAGGCGCACGTGGTTGCGCAGCGTGGACGACTGGCTGAAGCGGCGGTTGCAGAAGCGGCAGACGAAGGGCTTGTCCAGCGTGTGGATGCGCATGTGGGAGCGCAAGTTGCTGCGCGAGTTGAAGCCGCGGTGGCAGATGACGCAGCGCATCCGGCCCGCCGTGGAGGCCACGGAGGTGGAAGAGGAGGAGGAGGAGGAGGAGGAGGATGAAGGGGAGCAGGAGGAAAGTCCGTCACTGGATTGGCACTCATCTGGGAGAGGACGCATAGAGGAGGGTTTGAAAAATAAATTATTCCGCACAGATATTTTTTGTTTGTTTGTTTGGTTTGAGTTTTACGCACCACTTCTGCTTTTCTTCAGGTGCTCCTCGTCTGTTCCAGGAACTCCAGGGATTCCCAAGAACGTGTTGTGGGTGTTTCCATACCAGACAAGGAGCTCTTGGTCTGGTGGGATGGTCTGGGGGAGGGGNGTTCTTTATTAAAGAGGAATTAAATGAATTGAATTGGGGTAACGCATGGATTTGATTTGCTCATTTATGCATTAACCTGTGGCATTATTTTGGAGCTGGTAAGGCCTCGGGGGCCTTGTCAGCAATGGCACATCATCCCGCTTTAGCCGCTCCATTGTTGGACAATTTAAGCCATCATTGTGTTCCATTTAGGGCCCATCAATTTAATGTGGATGATTGACAATTATTGCACAAAGAATGTGGTAATGGTTCGGATTTCAAAGGGCTGCTGGGAAACCTATTAACGTGACGCGTTTGTTTGGGGATAAATAGTGGATTTTTTTTTTTTACGCGCACCAGCCTGGAGCTGCCGGTGGTGGTGTGTGTATGTGTGTGTGTGTGTGTGTGTATACGTACAGTGCAAAGTATCATTTCAGTAACATTTATTTAGAGAACAATACCTACACTTTCAGATTATTGTTTTTTTCCATAGTTATTTTTAAATCACTCAAGGCCAAATAATATTGTATTATCAAATCAAAAATACCCCAAAACTGAACATTAAAACTATTTTACACTATAAATTAAAGGGAAACTGACAGATTTTTGATCATATATTTTAGTCACTAATAAAATATTAAATGGTTATTTGTTCTGACCACATCATATTAAATTTTTGTAAATAAATAAATAAATAAATATTTTTACACCAAAATAATTTAGGGAGGCTTTGAAATATTTTAGGGGAGCTTCAGCCCCCCTAAAATAGGCCTGGTGATGTCACTGCTCCTGAACTTCTCTAATTTGCACAAATAGGTATTTCTGCATACCAACAGTCTGGGTTGAATAAAGAAGTAAAACAATCAGAGCTGCACGAAATTAGAAAAACTTCAGATGTGCGAAATTATTATTTCAGTAGAAGTAGACCCACATTCTCCTCACTTGTGATGCTGGATCGACCAAATATTAACACGCAGGGTCGACTGCGCAATGATGATAACTGAACTTTTCTCCTCCTTTGGCACAGATCTGTTCTGTTCAACAACTAAACACCTGGAGGTTCTCATCAAAGCAACATTTGAGCTGCTGAAGAAGCTCCTCACCTCCACAGCTTTGTAGAAGATGCTGCTGCCGATCTGCACCACCTCCAGGTTCTGCTCCTGCTCGTTCCGGGCGCACTTGATGTAGGTCATCCAGCTTCGGTGGTCCTCCTGACTGGCGTCGACGAAGTACCGCACCGTGCCGTCTTCGTTAAACACCTAAAGAAAACAACCCTTTAAAAACACACCCTCAAAACTCCTCCCACCTCTCCAGACACCCCCTGGACTCGGACTTGCGCTCACCTCCCACATCAGGTTGTTGTTCTTGAACAGGTCCACGTGCTCAGGGGAGAGGAGTCGGCCCGTGAAGGGGCCCATCTCGGTGCCGGCTTTGATCCAGGTCTTGGAGAAGATGCCCAGACCTTCTCCCGGGATGGAGCTCTGGGCGATGATCACCTCGCTGGGCAGCACCAGGCTGGAGAGCTTCTGCACCTCTGTGGGAACAAAAAAACAAGTTGATCAAAAGTGTTGAGCAGAAAAAAAAAACCGTAGGAGTAAATGAGCTGGATCTTATTTCAGTCACGAAATATGATCTTATCCTTCATTTAATTCGATTATCTGGCTGAATTGAGAGTTTTTGTTGCGTAAAAAAGCTCCTTATTCGTTGCAACAAATGCAGAAAAAAAAGGTGCTTCTTTAATGTCAAAATCAAAGATTGGTTTTTTCTAAAGAATCAGGCTGCAAAAAGTCCGGGGTTAAACGGTCCTCTATTGCTCAGGGTCCAGCAATTTGTCACGCTTCCGATGTGATATTCATTTAAGCTCAGTGTGAAAAAAAAGTGGAGTGAGGAGGAGAGGGGGTGCGGGGGGACGGCTAATTCCAAATTCATTATCCTTTTAAGAACTTTGTAGCAATAAATTTGCGCTGAATGCGAGCAGGACCTGTTTAAAAGCCTCAGGATTCTTTTTTTTTTTTTTTTTTTGGAAAAAAAAATGGAAAGGCGATTAGATGGTTGACATGCAATGAATAGCATTAGATTTAGCCTTCACGGCGCATTAGGCGAGGAACAGCAAATCTTTTAAGGAGGAGAGAGAGAAAAGCTCCGGAGCTGCCAAGAAGAGAGGAGGGTGGAGGGG